ACTCCTGCCTATGGCTTGACATTGTGAGTGCTGAATAGCAGTTGACTTGTGTCCTCGTGAATTTTCATCAAGCTTCTGGACTTAAATATATATATATATATATATATTTTGATGTTATTTATTTCCATTAGATTATTAAATTATTTTTTAGAATTTTTTTTTTAAACAGGTATTTAAGGAATTTCATGACCTTTTCTTCAAATATTGTCTTTGTGGTTTCTAGTTCAAATAGTTCATGATTAGACAAAACTCCGTCATTTGCGCTTCGATTGCGTTTAATGTACGGTGGAATTGTTTTGTTTCTTTTGTTTATTTATTTTTTTTTTTAAAATTCCAGAGTTGTTTTTTTTTAATCTAAGATTACTTATATGTGTATTGCTAGCAAATTTTTGTTTGAATAATTTCCGAAAGATTTAATGAATAGAAAAAGTTGAAAAGCTATTCATATATTCTACGCATAAATTAATGCACAGGTGTACATCGTTGCCAGTAACAGTGTTCTCATCGATCACCGTATTTTAAAAAGCGAAACGTAAAAAGTATTTGATTTTACATCAGCTCAGTTGAAACGAGATATCAGTTAAGGCCCTTTTTTAAAGATGAATGGTGAAATATCATCACCGACAGCAGCAAGGATGAACTAACGAAATCCCATGGTGAATTCACTAGGATTGTGGACAACTCTGAACAACACTCTCATCGCACGTCTGCTTGTCAGTTGTTTTATGCTGTGTCCAACTCTTCTACTGTTAACCATTTGCCCTACTCTTATGCAAAAGTTGTTGTTTTTTGTTGTTGTTGTTGTTTTGTGGTCTTTATCGTGATCGAAAGATTACGGTGCGACTTTTATTTGGATGTCTATAAATGACAGTAGATGTAGACTAGATGTTAAGTATCAAGTAACCTGAGTAATAGTGAAAAAAAATATTGTAGTTTCTTAGGTTTTTACTTGTTTAAAAATTAAATTTAAACATTTGAGCTCCAGATGTAATCATGCGTCTTGAGATGCGTGTTTGGCTGTGCCTATCAAAGTAGAGCCTGCAAGCATGGCATGGTACCTGGGAGGTGGGACGGCAGGCGCTGCCTACCGTGGCAGTGATTTTGGCAGTCGGAGAGGGGGCGTCTGGGTAAGGATAATACGGTCATGAAGCGGTGGGGTGGGATGTGGGGGGGGGGAGAGGACGGTCATGGGAAGGGGTGGGCAAGGGTAAGTTAGAGTAATTNCGGGGCAGGTGAGCGCCCTCACCAGACCCCTGGCAGGGCGGCCCAAAAACCGACGGCCGGGCGCGGGGCAGGTGAGCGCCCTCACCAGACCCCTGGCAGGGCGGCCCAAAAACCGACGGCCGGGCGCGGGGCAGGTGAGCGCCCTCACCAGACCCCTGGCAGGGCGGCCCAAAAACCGACGGCCGGGCGCGGGGCAGGTGAGCGCCCTCACCAGACCCCTGGCAGGGGAGAAATATATTTTTTATTACTTGAAAAATTCACAGTTTAAGAAAAGACAAATAATTGATAGGAATCAAGAAAACACTTTAAGTATTATGACTGCACACGTTTTCACTATTTTATGTTTTTTTTTATTAATTTATATTAACTAACACAATTAGAAAATTATTACTCAAATATGCCTCAAGTATAGCTGATAAAGTGTCACTAAAACGAAAGCGATAGTTTCCCTTGGAAAGACATTAAGTTGAAGAATGTGCTATAAAAAAATATATTAAAAAAAAAAAAACTTATTACATTTGAATGATAATAGACGGTTGTAACAGAAACATTAATTATTAACAATGAATATACTAAATGTAAAACACGACTTTTATTTTGCATTTCAAAACATTTGTTTGTCTTAAAACATATTGTTCCATTATTTAAAATGTAAATTGGAATATATAAATTTACATAAATAAAAGTTATTTTTGAATGGCATTTTTATGTATTGAAATAAATAAAACATATTTTTTAATTTCCGAATTCAAAAAATGAATGTTAGTTATCTAATTTCGTATTATTTACCACAAGAAATTTAACAAAAAGACAAAAAATTTCAAAATTAACTTATTTCCCAGAAAATAACAAATATGTTCATTGTTTTGAGTCTCCTTTAGACAAGACATGTTTGAATACTTCAAGTTTATCGTTCTCTGGTAATGTTTCGAAATGGTTCTCAGCGAAGAAAGTTTCCATTGATGTCATTAAATGTCTTTTCATCCTACATGGTAATGATGGAGCTCGATCCGTTTGCGCGGGTCAGGTGAGCCCCCCTCGCCCGACCCCTGACCGGGGAGCTCAATCCACGGGGGTTGCGGACCGCACCGCGTGACCTCCATTGACGAGATCGCTAGGTAAAGTGGACAAGGCTTAAAACACACTCCTTCATGGATGTGCTCCATTAACTAGAGAATAAGCACCCTTTACCAGGAAACAGTGGAAAAATAAGCCTGATCCAGGAGAGATCCGCACGTTGTTTTTTTATGTTTTTATTTATTTTTTTGGGCGGGGTGAGGGGGGAGTAATACGATAGTTTCATGTGCCCAAGGAAGCACACGATGCGCCTCAGAATGAATTTGACAAAAATTAACCTTATTATGTAATTATATATTGGGGTTAGGAAATAGGGTGTGTTTAATTTTAAACGCATGACAATAACCAATGATATTACAATTGTAAAAAAGAAATGCCTATTGTCGTATTTTACCATTTCCGAAAATCAAAAGGAAAGTACATTTACACATTTACACAATTATATCAATGAATATCGAAACCCACTCATTTTTCACAAGGTAAATTTAAATTTTTCAAAATATAAATGGAATAAGTCTTTCTTTCATGATAGATAGACAGACAGAAAAATAGACATATATATAGAGGGTCTGGTGAGGGGATTCACCTGGCCCGTGCCTGGGTCTGGTGAGGGGGGAAACGGGGAAAATGCAAGAAACACTTCTCTCACTTCAACTTTCCCACTGTGGATTTTCACTTGTGTGATCACTTCAGACATGTGGTCAGTTTGTGATATATCAGGTGTACTTTCTAACATAATTCCAAAGCAAAGCACCTCACAACTTTTATATCCATGATAAGAGTCTCCTTCACATGATTTGGAAGGACATTTTTAAATTCATTTTGGTTTTTGGTGAAAGGTAAGATGCGGATGCTTTTTCTGTAGATTTAGTCCTCTTTAGTTTTAGTTGGTGCTCTTTTAGCGCTGGGTCATATTTAGATAGAATCTTAAACCATTTCAAGAAAGTTTCACTGAAGATTTAGCTTCGTTGTGGCCACGTAATGCCAGATGTTACTTTGCAAGAAGCAATGTGATATCCAGTAACCTGTGCACGATATGCATTCACTTTTTGATCTCGATGTCCATCAATGCAATACTTTCGGGATAAATTGTTTTGTGTTTCCTAAGTCCTGCTGCCAATGCTTTCCACTTTTCAAGGTAACATAGGTGCTCTTCCTATGCCTCATGATTTTGTAATTTTGGTCTCAGTTTCCACCACTTATCAAAGCCAGTAACACATTTGGATGTAGTTTCTGTAACATTAACAGCAAACAATCTGCAGCAAAAACAATAAAACTTCTGACTGACAACTGAATAAACCAACCACTACCGCAATACCAGTGACAAATCATGGAAAATATTAATGTTTGAGTATTTCTGGGTTTTGATGTATACTATTATATTTGTCTATTGGAAAAAAAATAATTTTATTTAATTTTAAATAAGAATGAATCATTAAAAAGTTTAAAATTGTGTAAAATAACACATTTTGAACCCTATAAATGGGTAAAAATTCATGTTTAATGTTTTTATTTTGATTCTTATGCTTAGAATCATCCAACCGCACCATATTTGGTATCAATGGAAAGCCCTATTTCTCAGAATTTAATAAAATATAGCCTCTTGTCACTTACGGACGTTACCGAACACTTCAATCGGCGTGGAATAATGAATGTGTTTTCTTACCTAAACATAGGGTCATCTTATTTCTGACGAAGCAACCTTGAACTTTTAATAAAGCAAGCATTGGGATTGGTTAGATTTGTGAAAAATGGACGTATGATCGGTTTTTCTATTATGAATCTCGGTCAGACCGAGCAGTGTGTGCTCTGTAAATATGCAGTTTTTCATGTGGGTGTCACCCCTAAAATGGTGTCACCCGGTGCGGTCCGCACCCCCTCGCTACGTCACTGCATAGACGTACCTGATTTTAGTATGGCACACTTCTATTGCTGCCCACAGATACTACTTACCAGCTAAGTGTTATTTCTTATTTTTATTTTTTATACCGTTTTTTCTGTTGTTTTGTTCACTGACGAAGGCTTTCTGCCGACACGTTCGCTGTTTTGTTGCGTTTATTTTTCAGGTTTAACCCTACTCTGTTTTACTCATTTTATTTTGTACTAACCCGCTTGCAGTCTCTCCCCTTATTACACCCCCCCCCCCCCCCCCCCCCCCCCCACGGATGCAGGGGGCCTCGGATATTTTAGGGGCCCTCTCCCAAGAACCCTCCACCAGCACCACTTAAGCTCGAGAGAATATGGCACCCTTGAACCCACCCCCACACCTTTTTTGTGTGTGTGTATGTATGGATTAAAGGGACGTACTGACACTTTTCTATTTACAGTAAAAACTTGAAAAAAACTAAAATCTTTGAGACCGAAGTAAAAGAGGAGCTATTTGCAGTTTTAGCCAATAATAATGTTTAAAAATTATAATAACATCCCGTGGCGATTTATCGCAAATGCCCGGGACAATAACACTATATCAAAAGTGGTTATTTCCAAGGTTTCAATGTACTAAACAGCACTATATATATTTATATGTAGTAGTTGTTTTGTTTTTTTTGAGGGGAGGGGGCAAAAATTCCCCCCGTGCGTCTAAATGTTTCCCTATGTTATCATATAATGCCACTGTATATTCGACCAAGTATTATATTTTGTTTCATTTCTATGATTTAAGTAATATTACTTTTTATAAGTTACATGTGCGTTCTTTTCGGCCATCTTGAATATTCATTATTTACCGACGCCATTACTGACAGTGTTTTTCATTTATAGTAGGTCACGTCGTTTTTTTGTTACTTTTGCCATAAAAATAACAACAATGAGTGATATTGATCCAGAAAAGTTGAAAGTTGCTGAATTAAGAGATGAACTGAAAGCAAGAGGATTAGATACAAAAGGGAATAAAGCCGCTCTTGTTGCTAGACTGAAAGAAGCATTGGAGGATTCCACGGGCGGTAAGAGTAAGACACATTTTATCATTTTATAAAAATCTTATACTTATATGCGTAAATTACTATCGTGCAATTGATTTGTATTCTAAAACTGTGCATGTGATTTCCACTCAGCTTATCAAATTTATGAAATAATGGCTTTGTTAGTAGGCTAAGCATATTTTAGGCCTAAAAATTATAATTTGAATTTGAGAACCATGGTATGAATGTGGCTACTGTGAGTGAGTGAGCGTCTCAGTGACTTGAGTGATAGATCACCCACTTCTAAGTTCTGCCTAATCATTATTTTGGATTGGAGGGCTAGAATTGAGTTAAATTTTTATAGTGTAAATTTTGGGTTAATGGTATGGGGTTTGAGTTGTCACAGTGACATCACTTTGGGCGGGGAATCCCAACTCTGGACTAAGACATAAAGTTGAACAGACTATACTATGACTCATGACGAATTATTGGACTGAAAAATGTGTGCCTCACTGAGCATTACCTGCAACCTAAACTAAATCTGACAATCGCTACGGTTAATATGAAGTATAGTATATCAAAGTGAAATTTTCCATTAATTTGTATTAAAATACAACTTACAAGTTTCAAAAGAAATAATTTTAAAAAGGACTAGCGCTAAAAGTGCTGTTTTTTAATTAAGTTGACATTAGAAATACAGTGGAACCCCCGCTATAACGCGATGATCTGGGTACATAAAATCGGAATGCGTTATAAGCGGGGTTACATTAATTCGCGGATTTACAATATTTAACTTTTTACTGAGAACATTTATGCATATACTATGTACAAATGATCAAAAGTCGGCTTATCATAAGATGAATATTAACTGGAATGCATTAATTAAGATATATATTCAAAATAATCGATGGCTAATATATTTATAAGTTATTACTGTGCTTTAAAAACATTTACAAATTTTTATTTGTTTGAACGATAATACAGATTGACCGATAATACCAGACTATCACTATGTCATGAAAAGTGTATCAACACTGTATGCTACTGTGCCGTCGTGGCATGCAGTTCATCCATAATGGATGTAATTTCATTTAAAATCGTACAAATTTAAAATAATCAATAAATTTGTAATAGTCTGAATTTGTCGTGTAAAATATAGGATGAACAAAATATTGAAACCATTTACTTGCCGTCTGAAAGGAAAACAAAAACTTACATTAAAATACCACCGGCCTTACCGCTAACCCAAACTCGGCCATTTTTTAATAGTTAAGTACCTTTAAGCCCCTCCCCCACTCTAAATACTTTACCAAATTAGAAATAAAGTAATTTGCTGGGAGAGACCCCTTCCCCACTTTCAAAAATATAAAATAAGAAAACAAAAGGTGCATATTGTTAGGTGAATCAGGTGAACACATACATAAAAATCAAAATCTTATGAATATGGCACTATAGGCGGAAGTTGACCTGGAGGAACTTCCGTGACCTATAGACAGCCGGCCTTACGCCTTACCAGTAACCCAAAATTAAACTTTTTATAGGTGTAGTAAAATAATATATTTTGTTTGTCAGGAATTTAAAAAGTTTTATAGTTCTTTTATTTTTTTCCCCATAAATATGTATTATTACTAATTATAATTAGGGTTACAACATTAATAATAATAATATTATTAATCTCTTATGCAAGTTGAATCAGAATACATATCATACTAACAAGAGGCAAAGGTAGAAATGTTTTGTATCACTTCGGTATGCAGCAAGACCCATTTCTTTCCTCACATATTTAGTCTCAGCTGCAGGTGTTACAGTTCATACTTAGTACTGCACTCAAGGGTAAATTGTATTGACCAATTATTCAGCAGACAATCAATAATCAGCCGATTAGGTGGTAACTGGCTTTTTGACGATCAGATGATAACTGGCTTTTTGACGGGACTAATTATATGCTCTCTAGCTGTGAGCCGAAGCTAAATGTAAGGGTTGGGGGGGGGGCAAATGTCGGCGAAAGTTTAAATCAAATACACAGCCACTAATTCATTTTTTTAAATGGATTAGAAATACAAATACCAGCATCAAAGCGGTAAGGGTGAGGACACCCTTTTATTTTATTTAAGATGATGCCTTGTTAGGAGTTTTACCAATGAAGAGATCTTTACTTTGAACCAAAGGCTCTTTCTCAAATACTTTTTAATCCCGATATAGTTTTGAAAAAGAATAAAATTATGTAAAAATCATGTTAATTTATGATGGCCACTTTCCCGTGGGCTCCTTAGAGACTAGAGGTGTCAACTGTTATAACATTTTATAACTTTTTTTTGTACCCTGTAACAAATAGGGGAAACCCAAATAATAGTGATTAATTTTTACAGAGTAATTATATAAACAAAAAAGCTTATGGTAGAAGTTTTTTTCCTGTAAAGGCCAGTTTATGAAATAAAAACTTTTTGAGTTACTTCCTTTTTTATAAAGGAAGTTGTGCCTTAACTTAATTTAATAAATCAATTACATCATTAAGCCTAGGATAATTACATAAGATTCCAATTTTGGCAGCTGATAATGAAGGAGAAACACAGGGTGACCAAGAAGGCGATGAAAGCCAAATGGAAGAAGCTGCAGAGGGACAAGAAGAAGAGACTTCAAAGGTTGATGAGGTATTTTTCATTATGTATAAATATATGTATTTAATTTTCAATAAAGGCACATCTCTGATCAAAGTAATTAACAGTCATGAAATTGTGAAGAATTTATGTGGCAGCCAACTGAGAATTAACAGTTTTTAATTTTGTAAAATTTGTATCTAATTTGGGGATGTTAAAAACATTGGCTTTGAAAATATTTTTGGTTTTTAGGCAACATTAATCAAATTTATTTTTTATAATTTATTAAAGAAAGTCGCAATAATAAATATATACGACACAAAGTGAATACTTATTATTTTAAAATTTGACATTTTAAAAAAAATGTGCCTATTAATATTTTAATATCTGACAGGATGTTCAGCTTTTAGATGAAACCACCACTGATGGTGATGATCTAGCTGAACAAGAAAGTTCAGACAAAAATCAGAATATTGAGGACGATGCTGAGAAAACTGAGTCCCAAGAAGAACAGAATACCGAAGCTAATGGAGAAGGAGACGAGGAGCCACCAGTTGTTTTAGGAGAGGAATTCAGAACTATAGATGAAACATCTCAAGATGATAATGAAGAAGGTACTTTATGTTTCTTAATTTTCAAATTTCATTGCCAAGTGTAAAGTGATAAGCTCTATAAATTATAATGTAAAGATACTTAAGCATATGCTACATTTTTGTAAATATTAACCCTGGACACGTACCACATTTTTTGGATGTTTTTAAGATTCTTTATAGCATTACAGTCATTAGCTTATTGGTGTATAGAAGTGTTTCTTTAAAAGGAGTTTTAATTTTTTCATATGTTTAAATAGGAAATACTGATAGAAAGCGCAAACGCTCTCGCTCACCTCGTGATCGACATCGAAGGTCTCGCTCAAGATCTAGAGACCGCCACAGGCGAAGCCACTCCAGGGAGCGAGAAAGAAGGCACGGTAGATATTCTCCACCACCAAGAAAGGTTGAAATGGATGACACAGCATGGGAAACATTGAAGACCTTTGTCTTGGATCGCTGTATGTAAAAAAAAATAATTCAAGAGTCATTATTGAAGCAAAGTTTTATAATTTAAAAATTTTTTTTTTTTTCCTTATTAAAATTTAATCCATTTTCAGAGGAATCCCTATCTTTTCTTATGCATGATGGCCTTTATTGCCAAGGCTCATAACTCTCTTAAGGCCAAAACCAAATAACTGTTATTGTTAAAGTCTGTTCACATCTCTATTTTATGCATAATGAAATCGTCTGAGTTTGTCTAACAATTTCATTTGTAGCCAATATTTATGAGGACTGCCAAATAATGTTTTAATTATTTATAATTAACGTTAAATGTGTAGCTTTGAAGGCTGAAGCCATTAAGTAGGGTGTGAATGCAAAGTTATAGGTTTGCAGACCTGTTTACCCTCAAACTCTTAAAATCGTACAATATCATCACAAAATCGTTCAATACCTTTTATGTAGAGTAAAAAATAAGCATACAGTATATATATTTACACCTCAAAATCGTACATTGTACGCCAAAATCGTAAGAGTAAACAGGTCTGGGTTTGCTACATTAAGGGTCAGTCTAAAAAATTGTAATAATTCGTAAATGATGTCCATTCTTTATTGTTTTTAGATTTTGAATACGACCTTAACTTGTGGTGTTTCAATCAAATTTTTTCTTTCGATCTTTTTAAAACATATTTAGGAAGCAAAAAACAAATTTACTTTCATGCTATGTTGCTGTCTATATAGGCATGTATTAACCATTAACAAGATAAATTGTTTTTTATAAAAATTTGTTTTCAGATGATGCTGATATGAATCTAAGATTTGATGACAACAATATAAAAGCTCATCCACTGACTGTTGATGGGTTTGCCTACATGTGGTCTGGAGTACGAGCTATGTATGGAGTTCACAAAGGAAAGGTTGCTTATGAAGTGAAGGTAGTGCAATTTTTTTTTCAACTGAAGTATAAAGATTTTTAAATTGTAAAATTTTTAAAAAAACTTTTGTTATAATTTTTGTTTAAATTCAATATTTTTAAAATCTTTAGACAAATTGATTTTCTTGATTCTCATGAAAAAATTAAGGTTGTAAAATATGCATTGTTAAATATAAATATGTCATTTTTACCTACTACTGTTGTCTTATCAGGACTAATCTAATTCTAACATGATTATTGGAACTTTTATCCATGTCATGATAAGAGGGGAGTGAAAAAAAATAATTTAATGTGCAATAAATTTTATTTACAGGTTCTTGAAAATTTGAATGTGGAACATTTGTCACGTGATGAACCAAATCCACATATACTTAGAGTAGGTTGGTCTGTAAATTCAGCATCATTGAATCTTGGTAAGTTTTTAAAACATGTTGACTTAAAAAAACCATAATGTTGAACCAAACACCAGCAGAAATATTTGCTTAACTTCTTTTAGAGCACGGATTGGCTGTCTTTATTTAGACTGGTCTCAAAATTCTTAACTGTGCAGTAGCATGTACCTTAACAAAGACCCATGTTAAGTGACTAAAAAACAAGCTTTTTGAAAATGGGATGAAAAAAATGGTGTACCAAAATTAATGTAAGAAGTGAAACTGCATAAATTCACTCATGAGCCTAACTGCTGTCCTTCGTCACCCAAAGCAGGTTGGACTTGCTTATCTTCATGGTCAGAAAAATCTGTTCACAGACAAGCTTCAATGGAAACACTTACCTTCATTTCTGTGGAAATTTCAGAAATGTGTTTCTGTCTAGAGATTTGAAGAGTTATTGGGATGTAAAGAATCCTTCAACCCTATGTGCATTAGACACACGTTTTATTTTGGTACTTATCATATATGTTGAATGTTAAAAACTGGCTTTTTCTAGCGCTATAGCATGTTTGATCAATTAAAGTTAAATAACTTAAAAATTTGAAACATAATAACACTTGACATTTTAGCAGATAGACTGTTCTGAAGAGAGTAAGGGTTCATTTTTCTACCTTGTTTTAGAGCCTTTTTTAAAAAATGGCTGTTCCCATTCAAAAGACTGTTTTGATACCATTTATGCTGAATTTTAACTAATTAGACAATGTAGTTCATTGTTGATAAAATTTGACATTGTCTTCAACAACTTTGTTTTGGCTTGGATTAGTAATAGAAGACACATTTCATTGCAAGCAATGGCAGCTGTAGTATCATTTTCTCATTTGGCACCCAGAAGATATAGAAATTACAATGGACTTAAAAATGCCTCCACATGCCCATATTATATTATAGTTTACAAGTAATACATTAATTTATGCATAATTTCACCACAGTGACAGGTGAGCAACTAATGGAACATTTACAAAACAAAATCTGATTCCAGATTATTTCTTTACACATTCATATCATTTTTATAAGGTGAAGAGGATCTCTCTTATGGTTACTGTGGCACTGGCAAAGCTGCAACTGGTTGCAACTTTGTTGACTATGGACAGAGCTTTGGTCCAGGAGATGTCATTACTGCTTATTTGGTAATTATGTGATTTTTTATTTTTTTTAAAGGGATGTGTAAAGTATCTCAAAGGAAAGTTATTCACTTGATATTTAACGCTTTCTCTCCGGAACAACGCTCCCATCGTCGATTTGAAATGAAGATTTTGGCTATGTATAAAAACCTGTTTATTTCGGTTCTTTTCTTAGCTATTGGTTTTTAATTATTTTAAATCAATTCTAGAATCATTTCCCTTTGTATAACATCTGTTTTTTTTGTGTTTGAACAAGGTTTTGCGTAGAACGAAGTGTTTGAAGCGGTTGTTTTCATTGTCCATTTTATTATCGTTTACAAACACGAAAACTTGATCTGACCCATCTGGTGATCGATCTAATAAAGGTTGAAAATATTACTCTGATGATGATTCAGACAGTGATTTTATGATTTCAAATGCAGAGGCTGATTCTGTTGAATGGTATGATTATAATCCTAGTATTAGTAGTACTAGTGATGAAATAATGAAATTGGGGTAATTCATCACCTGATGAACAACCAGCCACCCCCTCCCCGCCCCCCCCCCCCCCCCCCCCCCCCCACCCCCCACACCCACACCCACCCCCCCCCTCCCCCCTCTCCCCCAGCTAAAGTGCACATCCATATGGATTGTTTTTTAGGCCTACCATAGCTAAACCCAGATGAAAAGATATTACAAATTTATGGTAAATGTTCCATTTACCATAATAAATGTTAGTACATACAAGAAAACAGTGCAAATATTTTATAATAGCAACAAATTGTTTCCAGTGGAAATAGTTACATTTTTTTCGCAAATTTTTTTTGTGACGGTGACAATGGATAATGTGCTCTGGTGTTTAATTTCTCCTTTTTTTAAAGTTGATCTTTATTATTTGTGATGCACATATGGATATAGTTCCGGAAAAAAAACAATTTTGTTACACTTTGGATTATATATTTCTCTTTGTGTGACTTGGAATGAGCGTTTTGTGAGCAGTTGGTACATTTTAAAAAAATTATTTATTTTCCTGAAATGATAATCACATTTATATATTAAAATTTAAACCCAAGTCTGGTTTGCTTGTAAAGGGCATACATTCCCCTTTAATTCAATACCAAACTTAACATTTTCTGATGGCAAACAAAAAAGTTATGATGGTTTAGAGATAGCATAGTAGTGCCTAACAAATAAGCAAAATTTGATAATTCGTCAGAACGCTGAAAATAATTCCTGAGAGAAAGAATTCAGCTTGTGTGTTATAAGTATGTTTATTTTAATAAAATAATTTATTCAAATTTTAATGCTGATTAATTTTTGTTATAATTCAGGATCTAGAGAATGATCCTGTCATTATTTCATATGCCAAGAATGGTGAGGACCTCGGCACCTGCTTTGAAATAACCAAAGAGAAGTTGGGAGAAAATGCATTATTTCCACATTTGATGACAAAAAATACAGAATTTGAATGTAACTTCGGTGCAAGAGTAAGTGTTACATTTTATTTCCTTTTGTTGAGTTGTTGCCAATGTGATAGTTGTAGATCATTCAAGAAGAATCTTAAATATTAACTTTAGAATTAAAAGCCAAAAAAAACAAACATTGTAGACAACATTTAAGTTACTCAAATCTTAATAATTTTTAAGGAAGGACCATACTTCCCATTGAAGGACGAGTTTAAATTTTTGGAGGAGGTTCCAGAAGAAGAGCGTGTGCGAGGGCATACTCCTCCTGCTACTAAAGAAGAGTGTGAGGTTTGTAGAGATTTAGTACTGTTAAAAACTCATTATTTTAAGTCATTTCCTTTAAGCAGGCTTTGTATATTTTGAATGAAATATTATGCCATTGAACATTGTGGCAACTGAAATTTTACACAATTTTCTTTCTGTTTTGTTTTTTTTACATCTTTTCAGTTCATCTGCAATGGTCACTTGGAAAAAATATTGTATGATGATTCCTCATTAACCCTTTCTTTATTGTAGTGCCCATTAACAAATTATCTTCAGGACCAAGCAAATTGAAACAACTCCAGTTTGGCCATTAAGTTGTCGACTTTAAAATTTATTACAAATCAATCTTTCATCCAATTATACAAAAATTAATAATGGTAGAGAAAAAATAAAATAAGTCTACGTTAGAACCAGTTAAACCTAAAATTCCTCAATGTCAGTTGAACACAAAATTGGTTAGACCAGTCACATCTGTCAACATTGTCTTGATTTTCTGACCAACATGGAACATCAAAATGTTAACTAATTCAATAACATTTCTTTTATTATTATTATTATCTACTTATGGAATTATTTCTTCATCAAATGTATTATTGTAGATAGTAACATCCCACATACTTGCAGTTTGAAACACTCAGAAGGGTAAACGTCATTAAGCTTACATCTGCTGTTAACAAAGCACTATTTAAAAAAAATTTCACAAGTTGCGATTAATCAAACGCACACCCAACAACCCCAATAAAACGAGCTTGAAACTTACTGTTTATAAATAGGCTATTTGTAACTACTTAAGAAGAGTTACTTTCATTAGGCAATTTTGAAAATGGCATATTGTTTAGGTATGATTTGGTTGTAACACGACTGAGGCGTAAGGGCCAGAAAGCCGTATGGCAACTGAAATGGTATATAAAATTAAAGCTGTTTTATAAAGGTACGTTCACACTAACACACAAATCTCAGTGGTGATTTCACATTCAGAATCCACTGACACAGATATCCCATGTAGGTGTTCGCTTGGGTTTCCCTGGTTTGGCTTACTTCTGGTAAATAGGAATTAAGTTTTCCTCATCCATGGATTCTGGGAAATGCAGAGATAAAATTAATTTAATTAACTATTTATTAAAACTGAATTAAGCTACTCAAGAGTTGATTTTTATAGTTGTTTGATTGCTATCTGTCTATTACTTATGTTAAGGGTAGTTGACTGATTTGTCACTGCATGCTAGTTGCTTCATTTTTCGCGGCTTATTCCTAGTGCTTAGTATTTCAGTATTACCTCCTGGTGGGGGAATTCATCGTCTGACATAAAACACTGCTTAAATAGACTGATCAAGAAAGCTAGTATCACCACATTAACTAAACAGCCTTCACTTGAGGATGAGGAACTATTTGAAGAAACATGCTGTTGTAAAACTAAAAATATTTTGGATGATGCATCCCAGCCTATTCATCGCCTATGATCAGCTCGATAACCACGAGTTCTTTCTGTTAAAGTTAGGACCGAAAGATTATTTTATTCCCCAGGATTTCATATTTATTTGCTGAAAATGAATATGTACAATGTGATAAAAAAAATTTGATTTATTTTGATCAATAAAGAATCTCATATTATTTTACTCCTCGAACTACAAAATATGGCTACTCTGGAAAACGACTGATAATTAATATGCTACTAACCTATCAGCTAATGACAAAGCATGCACATTATAACTATTACAGTAAAGAAAATTGGCACCTCAATGCTTCCACCATGGGTCAGTTGCTGAACTGCTGGTCATGATATATCATTATATATTTGTGAAAAAATGGATGACCCTTTAACTTTTATTTTACGATGATTAGCTTTTTCTCGTAATCAAAATGATTTTAGCTGCTCCCAGCTTACTTCATGGTCCGTAAATAATTGCACACTGCTTGGGGTCAGTTGCTGTGTATAAGCAGTGATTGGTATCTTTTATGACATGTGTAGCTGATGCTTAAATATATGATTATTTTATATTCTTGACTCCCTTCCATCCTGTGGATAATCTCATTTTGAATGTGGAACAGTTGGGAAGTGAACTTTAGGGGTGTACTATTGTTTAAACCAGATTTTAATAATTTTAACTAAATATTAATATCCTTATTTAAATCATTTTTTCATTTCTAACATAGGTGATTATGATGGTAGGCCTTCCAGGTGCTGGCAAGACTACCTGGATACTAAAGCATGTTGAAGAAAATCCAGAAAAACGATATGATGTACTTGGCACTACCAATATCATTGACAAAATGAAGGTATTCTTAGCACCTCTGTGCACTGTTTTTTTAAAATATGCTTTATGATCCTCTCATGTATTTGGTTAAACACACAACTTTTACAAATTATTTATTCTTTAAATTATCATTTCAGTTTTCACAGCATTAACTTTAGACAACTTTCATGCGAGATAAAGAATTGATTTTCAGCCTAATTTTTTTCACAGGTAAACGGCCTCCCAAGGAAAGAGAACTATACTGGACGTTGGGATGTTCTAACTGATAAAGCTAATAAGTGTCTCAACAGATTGATTGAAATAGCTGCTCGCAAGAAGCGCAATTATATCATTGACCAGGTAAGACACCATAATGCAATTTCATTATTTTAATATCACTATTTGCAAAAGCTAAATTTCACAAAAGTTCATGCTTCTGGAAGTCAACAAGTATACTAAGGGGTAAAAAAAAATGTCGAGTTGTTTATTCATCATGTCTCAATTGTCAATGTCTCAGTGTATATGCACAATTTGTTAAAAGTTCAATCTATTTTTTCCAAAATTGGCAATAGTGTGCACATTGGCATAAATAAATATTTTAAAATGAATTTTTGTTTAAAGAATTGGCTATATTTTAAAAAAATTATATTTTAAAATATTTTTGTGATCACCTAGCATTTAAAATTCTGGTATTTACAAACATTACTTTCTTAAGTAGCTATTCTTAGTTTGGAATACTAGTTTGTTTCATTTTCTTGTATTAATGGAGACTATATGCAGTTTCCATCATAAAAAATGTGTACACACTTCAGGAAAAGACAAATTTGTACAAATATTTTAATGCAAAATTTATTCATGATTATTAAGTTTTCTTTGGCCTCCACAATTAAAGTGGTTTTATAAATGGATTGGATTAGCTTCCAGACTTTATTTGTACGGCTAACTGCAGCTTGAGCAACATTGGCCAAGGTGTCCAATGTAGGTTTTCTACGATATATGATATCCTTTATGATTTTTCAAGTGTTAACTCAAGAAACTCAGTTACATCTCCTTTGACTCCTACAATAACCTCAAATTTGAAATGCCGCTTTAGAATGGATTTACGTTCCAAGATAGAGAGAGAACTGTACCTCTGCCATTTTGTCACTGTTGTTTTGGTCACTTGTTGAAATTACACCCATGAAGACCATCATGCATTTGTCTTGTGTCTGAATAAATTTGGCACTAAAATAATTATACGTTTTCTTTTCCTGAAGTTTGTATACATTTTGTGGTGGACTTTTTATGTGGGTTAAAGAATTTTTCCTGAATTCAGCGCATCTAATCTAGAACCAGAAATTGACACTATTGTTTTTAAAGTTGGTTTAAGTAAAGTAAATAAAGCAAAAGGCTTGTGACACGTAAGCATTTACAATAAAAATTAATTAACCCTTTCAGTACCGTAACTTGCATTAAGAAATTACCTTCAGTACCAAGCAATGGGAAATATTTTATTCATAAGTTGCTGACTTGTTAAAAATCAATCTTTCATCCTGTCATTAAATTACCTATAATTATGTAAGAAAAATGTAATTTTAATTAAAATAAGTCCACATTAGGACCAGTTAACCTTAAAATTTGTCAATGTCAATGAAATGCAATAGTCGGATCATTTAGATCTGTCAACATCTTTATCTTCTGACCCATATGGAATTTCAAGATTTTGAACTAATTCAATATTAACAACACTTTTATTTCTATTATATATTTCTGCATCAAATTCATCACTGTCAACACTTAAAGCCAACATACTTGCCGTTTGAAGCGATTCTAAAAAGCCAATAGCATTTTTCATAGACATACTGTCAACAAATCTCTTCACATATAAAAATGCAAAAACTTAAAATCAAATGCGGATACAGCAAAATCCAATAAAACAATAGCTTGACACTTCCTGTTTATAAAATAGGCTCTTTGTAACTCCATAAAAAGTGCTCTTTGTAACTCCTTATTACCTTCACTAGTGTTGAAAATGGTGTGTGGTTTATTGCAGGATTTGTAGGAAATTCCATTAAGGCATTAGTGCTATAATGCTACAAACATGAAATAAACACATTAATTTGCTTGATAAATGTTATAAAAAACCAATTATTCTGGATTATACACAAAACAAATTCAAGCGATATACATTTAAAAACTTCCAGTTTTTTTATAAGTACATTCATAATAAATTGTGTAATACATATGATGTGGTACTACAAGAAAGACTTGTACAATATCATAGATTAATTTGTACAATATCAGCTGCACATCATATTGTAAATTTATATTTAAAAAAAGAGCTTTCAATTTCTGTTAATGAAAAGAAACCAGTAATCTAAATGCAAAATTATTTTAAAAAATGAATTATTTCAATTTTCCATATGATGCTGAAAATTAGATAATTTGATTTAAAAAAATTAAGGTTCAAACAGCTGACTTTTAAAAAAAATATATATATTTATATATTTTTATAGTTATTCAATAGAATTGTGCTGAAAGACCAGAATTCATTGGTGAAAATAAAGTGGTAATAAATGGCTTTTATTTGAAATTGTTAAATATACTATGCCTTATCAATAAAAATAAACTGAAAAATAAAAAGAGCTTCAAAATCAAAACTCTTTGGATATTGGCAGAGGGAATATTTTAATTTCCTTTCCCTTTATGCACAATTTTTTATCTCCTAAGTTATCTAAAAATAATTTAATATATTATTCTTTTATTATCTGAAATCCTGTATGACAAGGACCTTAATTTAAATTTTATAATTGGCTTTAGTTAATATTTCTTGAGATGTGATAGTAAAATAATTCATTTTTTGGAAAGGTGTAAAGTCACAATATTATATTTTCAGTCTTGAAATTAATTAACATTCATAATGTAAATGTGCACTCTATTACACTCAGATGCCACAATGATTTTAAAGGTTACTCACAAATTGGTCATGAATGAAAAGAGTTTACCATAATATATCATAATAGAATTGAAGAATCAAAGAGTATACTTTGTGAATCTATTTACTTCTTTAAAATAACTTCACATGAAAAGTATGGGAAAGGGAAAGAACATGGCACAAATTTAAGTGTTCATTTTTAAAGAAGAGTGATTTTTTTTAGAACAATTTTAAGAGTAATACAGATTTATTCCCATATAAAGAAACTGTATTTTTATTAGTTCAAGAAACAAATGCAAAGCTGGAGGTGGAAATGTGAGAAGATCCTGGTTTAAAAATTTTTTATATTTTTTTGAAGGAAATCTCTTTCTCATTTACACAAATTATACTCAATCATTTATTTAATTGTTTAAAAAAAAAAGAAGATTTTTATAAGATATTATTTGCCAACCAGCTGGGCATTGATAAAGTTTGAAAATTATGAACATTGCATTTTGCTAGATCCTTAAATGATGTTTTATAATCCTGTAAACAGAATTTAGAATTTGGAAATAAACATGTCCAAGGATTTAATGGCTTCAAATATGAGAAACATTTTCAAATGTGTAATCTTATTTTTAAATGCTATGATATAACTACCTTTTTTTAAAAGTTTTATGAAATCCCAAAATGGAAAATAATATCAAAGTGCTCTTTTTGATTTCATTTTCGACATAATAATTATTTTGTAATCAATTTTTATTCTGAAAATGTAATTAATAGAATCACTGAATAAAATTTAATTTCAAAATATTTCTTCAATTGAATTTTAAAAATCTTTTTAGCTCTCAAACTTTTGAATCAATTCATTTACATGCTATCAACATTCATTGCTGATTTTGTACAAATTTTTGAAGTCGTATTCTTTATACGTAAATATATAGCTGTCAATGGAACAGAAAAGAAAAAAGCTAATATTTCTAACCCAAAAATGGGTATCATAATTAATCAGACATGTAAGTGTACTTCATGGCTATTAAATTAGATATTTAATATAAATTTGGTTTTAAATAAATTATACATATTTTTTCCCCATATTAATTAAAATCAGAATTTTTCATATCTATTTATATTTTTTAGCCAGTGATATATTTAAAAAAATGTTCTGTTTAGTTTTAACTTAACTTCTATCACTAACTAAATTAAAAAGATGTGCACAGTATTCCTAAATGCCTGACATCAGAAAAATTTGTTTGGTTTGGGAACAATTTATTGAATATAAAGTGTTAGTAAAAATAGATTTGTGCATATACATTGTTTTGTCTTGTGGATGGTAATATATCAACGTCGTTTCAAGTATTATTTTAAAGTAAGTATTTAGGAAAGCTATCTAGGCACTTACTTTATAAAACTTCACCACTGAATAAATCCAGACTTGAAAGACATCATGGAGTAATGATTTAATTAGAATGTATTATATCATTTTATTGATGTGAATGACTTAATGGAGAAATTGTTCAAATGATCATGACCATTTGTAGAATATGATGAAGTCAGTTTCAAAGAAATAAATTCTAACATGCTATTTGATGAAGTTAAAATATTATCTTGCAATGAATGAAAACCACATATACCGTAAAATATTATAGAGATGTTTCCTTAGTAAATTTCAATTTTGTTAAACACTCTTTGGAGCTCATATTTAAAGTAAAGGTAAGTGGATTAAATAAATTGCATCGCTAATCTTGCTATTTTATTTCAGTTTCATTATGGTAAGTATGCTTTCCTCAACTTCAAGTTGGAGAAAATTCACTTACTTTGTAGGGTCCCTTGTTAGGAGGAATAAAAAGGTAGTTACTCCCTGAATCCAAATAATACAACATTGTCTTGAAGTATTTGCAGATAGTTGGCGTGCCTCGTTTCATGGAATTTAGGGGGTTGTGTGAAACATAATTAAAGAATTGGACAGCTGAGAATCATCGTCGGCAGGAATCTTGAAAAACTCATTAAATATTTTTTATATTTTGTTGCCACGCTAGACAAATGTGTATGCATCAGCCCGGAGACGTAAAATGCAGCCTTTTGAAGGTTTTCAACGCAAGGCTGTAGTGGTCTTGCCAACTGATGAAGTGTTCAAAAATCGTGTGAAGGAAAGAACAGATGAAGAAGGAAAGGATATAACAGAAAATGCAGTTAACGAGATGAAAGGTAAAGATTCGGAGAACTGCGGAGCCATCAACAATTGATCTCTAAAATCTCTAGTACAAGTTAATGTTTTGAGGAAATAACAAGGCAGGTACCTGAAGCATAGAATAAAGAAATAACGCACGATGCGCATCTTCAATACTTGGTTTGGAAAAAAAAACGAGGGAATATCAGTTGTCAGTCGTGGGGGTAACTATTCAACGTCTACAGCTTTTCAGCGTTTAGGATTTACACCTTCTTTCATCTTATACTTTCTCTAAACTCATGGATTTATTTCTATCTTTTTCTATTTTTTTTTCTTTTTCTTGCATGATTCAAAACCATGTTTTTATCCCAGCATTTTGTAATACAAGCATTACATGTCCTTTGAAATAAAATTGGAAGTTAACAATTAAGGGGCTTTAATAACAATCAAAGCTTCACCTATTGGATTATGTTTAATAACATAATCAATGGAAAACATTTTGCATAGTTTTAATGCTGTGAAGGAATATGCATTTTATTTATTAAACTCACTGATAATTTATAAAAATGAAGAATTTAAAGACATGAATCTGACTGATATAAATTAAGAATAATGGAAACAATTTTTTTCAAATTCAATTCAATGACAAAGGTTTGTTGTAGGAATTCAGATTAATTTTTCAAACCACACTAGTCACCATCATACTTGTTGATTGAAAATATCACTATTTCTTTTTTTTTTTATAGCCAACTTCACACTTCCTGAAGAAGGCCAGTGTTTTGAAACTGTTATTTACACTGAAGAAGAACCTAACAAGGAAGACAGAGAAAAATTAATTGAACAATATCGTAAAGAAGGTAGAGATGCACTCCCTCCACCCGATAAGCGTTTCAGAAGAGACAGTAAGTTTTCACAATATAAATTAAAGTTAATTGAAATAAATTTTGATTTCATCATTTGTTAAAGTAATTTACATGTAGGTTGTCTTTAAAAAATTGACATTTATAGCGGTATTCCCAAGTTATTACTATGTCTTGCTGAAGAATTTTCTTTTTAAATAATAAAAGGGTTACTCTTTTAATCAATAAATGGATTCATAACTTCTTGAAGTATGAAAGAAAAATGTATTTTAAAATTTATTACTTATTTGTGCTTTGTTTTTTAAGAAATTTATGCAAAACAGTTTATTTAATGAAATGTTTTGCTTTGTAATAAAATTATGATGACTTGAAAATAATCCTTGATATAACTATAAAAATTTTCTATTTTTGTATGGAAAAATCACTTCTTGCAGACAAATATTTTAAAAACAGTTTCAAGAATGAGATCAATGCTGAAAATGATCTTAATAAAATAAATTAAAATTTTTGTAATGCAATTTTAAATACATGGTACTGAAATGCATAAAGCATTGTAATAGCTTGCATAAAAATTTCCATAGTCTTAAAATTACTTGAATTTTAAAGTTGCTTTTCAAATTGGTCATTATCATTTCTATTTGACAACACTAATTACTTTGTTTTTATTTTAAGTGTTAAAAAGTAGAGGCCACGAGAAAGTCCACAATTTCATTACTTAGAACTTTTGGTTAAAAATCTAAGCTTGTTAACTCCAATACTCAACATCAAAGTAAGGTGGAGCCTCTTAAGTTGACCTCTTTCTTCTCTGACAGAAATATCTACTCCGGATTGCCTCCTTTCCACACATAAAAAAACAAACGCACACTTACTTGGCTGGCAAATTTGTTATACCTTTTTGCAGTAGTGGCTTTTCCCAAAGCCCACACTAGGCAGTGCAGCTTTTCTCAAAGCCCTTTCTAAGCAGTACAGCAACTGCTTTGGTTGAGGATGAGCTGTGACATAATTAAACATATAGCCCACTAAGATTTTGATTAATTCTCTTCATAAATTATATTATATCAAAGTTATGAATTAAGTATTTTTGTATAAAAAGTGTCTAAACTCGTATATTTGAATAATTACAAAATGCCATCTGATAATATTCTAAAATAAAAGCAAAAGTTGATTCATATTGTTTCAGTCACTCTTATAATTTGGATTGCAGCCATTAAAAAATAATTACCCCTACATTTTAAAAAAATAATAATTTTTTTTGTTATCTTAATTTAATTGCATATTTTATATAAGTTTTGAGATTTTTTTCGAAAAAGGATATGCAAAATTGTAAATAAATCAAAGTTAAATAAATGCCTTTCATTTTATTATATTATATACTAAATTTGTAAAATAAAATTCCTACATCTTTTCATATTTAATACATCCCTTTTTCATTATGCCTAATAAATGTGTTTAATTAAAAAAATAATGCCTCGATGTAAAAGAATTAGATATTTCATAGTAACTAAGCATTATATGTATATAAAGTTCATATATTCGCCAGTCCAAAAGAAACTTTTAAAAAAACATTTCAAATTTAATTTTCAGGTCGTGAATTTAGGGGTGATCGTAGAGGTGGCTATCGTGGTGGACAAGACAGAGATCGCCGTGGTGGTGGTTTTAGAGGAAATCGGAGCTACAATTCTTGGAGACCTTATAATGATCGCAGAGGAGGAGGGGGAGGATCAAGTCGTGGAGGAGGTTACAGAGATGATCGCCGTCGTGATGACAGGAGTGGAGGTTATAAGGTAAGATAGATTAATTCAGATGTCCTCAAATGGCTCAATATTTACTTTTTAAAAAAAAATGTTTCCTCTTAAAATTTCCTTTTGAATTTTAATTTAAATGTTTTGTTTTGAGAAATTACAAAATTTAACCCTCTTGAGACAGAGTCTTTTTGGACTGACAGAGCCAAGAGTACTGAACCCTTTTCATATATTTTGCACTTACTTTTCAAAAAAATGAAAAAAATAAAAATTAATTACTTTACAACTGTAAAACTTTATATTCTTGTAGGGAATGGAATAAACTAATATGATCTTTATAAATCAAACTGAAATCTAGACATTTATTGACATTAGATATCCTGAATTGCATAATTTATGCATGTACATTTTTTTTACACTTAGATAAAATTGTCTAACTTTTTATTAAATTTTTATGATTGTTGAAGCTTAAATAAGTCCTAAACCAATTAGATTGAGATTCAATTTGAAAAACTGCATAAAATATTCCCCTAGGACTGCTTATGCCTTCATTTATAGGGCTCACTAGGTACCAAAAAAATTGATTATAAAATACAGAAAATCGTAAAATATCAATGTAAGCTGCAATTAAAATGGCGAGATGGGCAAGAAATGGAAGAGTCAATCTGATTGGCTGGTACAAAGACTAGATAATAATTTATGGACTGCATTCAAGTTGCTTAAATAAAATATATTGGTGAAGGCTCTCTGCCGAAACGTCAAAATCTTTTGTCCTGTTTATGAATTCAAGTTTAGCATACCTTGTTCTTATATTACAAAGACCAGCCAGCCAATCTCAAGGCTTTTTTTTTTGGGCTGATAGATCAGCTTTTCTTTTTTTCGCCAAACACTCTGGGCAGAAAGACCTGCCTAGCCGCCTCAAGCGGGTTAAAATAAGTACCATTTGAAAAAATAATTTCATATCTAACAAGAATAAGCTGTTTTTTAATTATAAGTTATAAGACTTGGCCACCTATTAGTAATTGTGTGTCTATCATAACCAATAATTAATAACAAATTTATACACATTATGTACTTTGTCTTTACATCACTTAATGGAAGCTTGCTAAAAATTACTTTTAAAATGTATTCATGCTTCATTGTTTTCTGTTGCTTGCATGCTAATTTCTTTAGAGCACTTTTTGCTTTGTAGAAGCCAGCTAAAGGGGGATTATTATTTAGAAAGAAATCCATTTTAAATATTATGTCAAAAATTAATTCATCAAACCGATTTTAATATATTCACATTGCAATTATATTTTAATTTTTCTATAATCCCATTTAAAAATTTTAGCTTATTGAATTTGTTTCAATGTTAACTCATTAATTTCCATGATTTTATTATTTTCATAGGAAGTAGGGTTGAGCCGGGTACTGACCCGAATATACCTAGTATTAGCACACCATGCACACACCGGGGCCGGGTGTTAAAAAAAAAGGGTGTTAAAAAAAAGAGTTATCTTCTCATTTTTTATTTTGTGTTCTACCCAATGGGGGAAAAATAGTTTTTTTTTACATATTTATGTGTATATTTTACCTGAATTAAATAAATAATAATAGAAATCTTACTAGAGACATCGGTTTCTCATTTCCAAGTATAATTTTGGTGCGGGTCCCCACAACTTGGCAAATGTTATAAAGCGGTCTGAAAAGGTTGCAAACCGCTAGGTTAGAATTTTATTATTAAGCTTTAGTGTTTTGAATCCCTTGTGATTGCACTTTTCAGGATGGAACAGATGCATTTTTTTTTTGTAACACCCGGACTAACAGATAACTTTTTTTTTGTAACACCGGACTCAGACCCGACGAATGTTATCTCAAAATACCCGGACTGGGTTATCCCTAATAGAAGGTTCAATTTTAAGTCTTAATTGTGCTACACCCTTATATTATACATCACTCGACAGGAACTTGAATGTAGCTTCTGAATACAGTAAGATTGTTTACTTGCAAATGTCATTCACATGACAATAGTTCAAATGTGTAAACTTATTAAATTTTCATGAATTGTCCTTTTCTAAAAAATCCTTTGAGGCTCTTACAGATAATTAAACTTGGGCACTTAAGTTTAAAAATAAGCAAGTTACACATTAGGGCAACATATTCTTTCAGGACCAGGGAAGGCCCCGTATTAGGTGCTTCTGAGTCAACATTGGAATTATTGATTAATATTTAAATCCTTAATACTTTTCTCTACCATAGTTTCTAACACTATCTTCATCAGAAAGAAACAAGATAATTCATTTTTTCTTATTTGCAGAGGACTTTTGCAGCAATAATTAACTAGTTTTATTTACAATCCATTCTATCATCTTCATCAACACTACAAAAAATACATATCCACAACACTAATAGCCCAATAGTTAACTAACAACACAAATGCTTGGTTAACCCTCAAAAAATTCTTTAAAAAAACAATCTGAATGGGCTCATGAGATTTCTGGTTGTACCAGTTTATGAGATTTAGAAAATTTTAAAAAGAATGAATGGTAACATGTGCCATTGTTGCCTTCTTAATAATTTGCTTTTTTCATTTTGCTCAATTGCTTTGAAACTTAAATAGAGTCTCAAAATTACATGTAATCAAATGTTTTCAATCCTTTTACAATATGTAATGATGATTATCCTTAGGTATTATCATTTCAAAATGCTTTTCAATAGGATTGGCACACTTTCATCTTTATAAATAATTGAATTCAAGATTCATAACATTTTTACAATGGAAAAAAAATAGTTCATACTTGTTTTATTTTTAAATTCTCTATATTCTTGTCATAGACAATATGCTGTGCTGTTTTAATCTTTAGAAATGAGTTCTTGTCAATTTAAATGTTAAAATAAAATAACATGCATTAAACAAAATGATATAGCTTCTATGGAACCCCATTATATCGTGTTATGGCATGGATCCTGAAAAATTTTTTGAAATAAAAATATTAATGTGCAAATGAATATAAATAAATAAGTGAAAAAAATATTAAACTTTATTTTGTGGATGAGATCACAAATTAATTTAAATTTATAACATGATTTTGTATGGCGTTGTTCCTAAAATTTAAGCTAATTAACATCAAAGAGCAAAATCTGCATGTCGGTTGACCTTGGCATTGTTATTAGACAGAATTATACCCATTCGTTTAAGGCTTCTATAGCACTGTGTGATATGTGTATTGGTGTGATTATTGGGATGCATTAATAGCAAATGGGGTAGGGGGTATAAAAAAAATGTAAAACTTCAAATAAACTTCTTAATGCGATTCGATTTTATGACCTCATTTTAGTGCGGTTCCACTGTATTTACTAAAAACCTATACATGAAAATTTATTCTAGGGCCTTTTACGATTTTGTTCATTTTGTATTATCTTAGATATAATTTATTTTGTAGATAGGATATGATGTGCTTTGGAAAACATGATCTTTTCATAAAATTGCTTAACAATCTACCCTAAAGTTGTAGTATATTTAAGGGAAAGATTAATGGCCCCATTTCATGACATAAAGAAAATGAAAAACCAAATGAACTGTTTTACTAAAACTTATCCAAATCCTTTTTTTTTTAAATTTGCGTTATTTCACTCTTGATAAATAATTTAGTGTTATCTATCCTCATCAAGGAGTCCTTATGTAATAAATTGATTCATTCTCAGGGTGGACGTGGAGGTTGGGGAGCCGGTCAGGGCTGGGGAAACCAAGGGGTAAGTTATTACCAGCTGACACTTTCTTTGAAGTGACTAATTTTATGTGAAGATTTTGTTGGAAATGGTGCACTAAACTGAAGCATTCATCAGTTAAAGGGGATAACTCTCAAAAATGTATGCTAGTGCATCATTTATATTACAGAGGGATCGTGAATCCTTTTAATGAAAATAGGATATGAAAATGTAGTTTTTTATAAAATTTAAAAAGTACCAAAAAAGTCTTGGGGATTGACAAGCTGTCAGAAAATGAACCCTCATATTTTTAAATGAGGATAACAGCATGTGATCTATTTGTATCTTTGTATCTTTGTTTTTTTTAAATTTCATTTTTGCTTTACCATATCTAAAATTGTTGTTATTTTTTAATGAAAAGTTTGTGGATGTTCAAAACTGCATTTTAGAGAATTAATGTGTTTTCTCCTCTATATAAGCTTAGCAATTTTAGTATAACCTAGACTTGCTAATATATTAAGCTTCAGCTTCAATTGAACTTTCTCTTAATGCATGAATTTACTCTGATGAAAACTTGGTGAACTTGTACATGTTACATCAGTGCTGCCCAGCCTGTGGTTTTAAATGGTCTTCCACAGCTTGAGAAATTTTTCTGTGGGTAAATTGTGTAAAAAAAATATAACATTTTAGGACGTAAATATTTTCAAACGAAATTAATTGATTCTGTATTTTTGAGAACACAGGAGAAGTTTTAACATAGAAAATGGGGGAGGTCACAAAAGCTAACGATTGGGAAGGCTTGACTGTTAGCAGTAAATTATGTTGGCACATTGAGAAATCAAAAGTAACTTTATTTGTAGCTATTTGGTCATTGTAAAAATGTCATGCATTCATCAAGTTATCGACTGCTTTCTATGATGATATAAATATTGCAATTTTTGGGTCAGAGTAATCAAGATGGGAGCTGTGGGACTAAAAGTATCACAAATGACTATGATGGGCAGTGTGAACAATTTATGTTAGTGCTATTCAGTCTGGGAGGAATTGTGAGAGACAGTAGGGATGATTCTTGAAAATATTTTAAAAAAAAAAAACAATGTAAGAAAGTGTGGCCAAATAAATTCTCGATGGCATTTGTTTTTTCTGACGGATTTCCGCTAGTATGGAAATGTAACAAAACTTTGTTTTTGCAAGCACCTATGTCAGTGAAGTTAGATTCTCTGTAATGACCAACCAGTCCAAAAATCATTAAGGCTTAGGGGAAAATTTAGAAAATCTAATGAGGGCAGGTGCTTCTACAACTACCTCAAATTGAAAAAATTGCAAGTACAATCCAAAGCAAAATATTTTATAAAAAAAGCACTACAATGTTTGTTTTATTTATATTCTTGATGAGCCGATAATGCTATTATATGAATTTTTTACAAAAGATTAGAAGTATTAATAATGTGTATAATTTTCTAAAATTTGAGATGTCATGTGCGGCCCTTGGCTTTTTTTTTTTACTCACTGAGTTAAAAAGTTTGGACAGCATTGTGTTAACATGATTAAAACGTGAAACCTTATTTTAAAATATATTTTATAGTTAATTGATTTTCTTATTACTTTCAGTGGGGCTACAATCAAGGCTACAACCAAGGAGGATGGGGAGGCTATGGACAAAACTATAACCAGGGAAGCTGGAGTGGTTACAATTCTGGATCTAGCAACCATGGCCATGGATGGGGGGGAAATTATAGTTACAAATAAATGATTTTGATAACCTCACCTGAGAAGGAGTTAACCAATAGGATGAATGCACTCACATTTCCATCTTTTTATTGCAGCTATTTTTATACTTATTGAGGCCTTGGTCTTTAATAACAAATTAGTCACAATGTCATTAATATACAAAGACAAGTGTAAATGAAATTTTGGGCAAATTTATTTACCATCTTTAAATAGAGAAAATAAGAACAACTATTGTAGCTTTAAACCGAGGCTTCAAAAAGTAAAAATTGAGGTGAATAATTTGTAATAATAGTGTCATCAAAAGCCACATTTTAAATTGTAAATAGTACTGCCATCTTTAAAATGCAAATTTGGTACAGGTATATCTTAACCTTTAACTTTAAATTCTTTTTAAAGCTCAAAATGTGTTCCATCTGCAAGCACTGATCCTTCTTATTTATTGTGTAACCATATCTGTTTTTTTAAAATGAGAAAATCACATTTTTAGTACTATGCTTTGGATCTGAGTCTACTGACCTCATTTTCAGCATTAATAATATGCTTTTGGAAAATTGAACAAGTAGACTTGCCTTGCTTTTAAGATTTTTATTATTCTGTATTGTCCATTTCTTGTATTTTGTGTACCATAAATCTGTTGAGGGTGCTCTCAATCAGTGGTATTCTAACTTAGGTGCTAGAATCTCCCTAATATTGATTTCCTTTTAAAATAAACACAATTTTAAAATTTCATAATTGATTTTGTTACCTTAATATTATCATTTTTTTTAAACTTAAGGGAAAAACACATTTCTTCAATTTTTTAAAAGTAAAATTAATATTCAAAGTATATTTGGTTGCCTGTGAAAGGGTTATCCGAATTCCGGTCTGAATACCACTGCTATAATAATGTATTTTCTTTAATTATCGATATCACTTTGCCTGCCACATTTATAAACACTGGCCAGGTAAATGTTAGTGATATTTGATCACTGTTTTCTTAAGTAAAATTAATCTGTTTTTATTTTAAAAAAAATTCATTTGCACCCTTTAGGAATGATAAATCTGTTAAATTTTGGGAGGGAAAATAAAAGAGGCAGCATGGAAACTTCTCATCCCTGATTTAACCTGGGCTGTTTATGTACATTATAGTGGACAGTTTGTTACTGTACTGAAAAATCTTTTTTTTATTCCATGTCACATTTGGTTATAACTGGCTTAGCTGTTATTTTGTTTAGTTTTTTTGCAATAAATATCATGTTATGAACAATGCTTCTTGACTCTTAAATATTTTTGGTGGTATCGGTATTCTTTTTTTTGTTGTTGTGTGTGGAGAAAATGTAGTGCAAGAAAACACTTTGTGAACTTTGGGCAAACCACTAATGGTATTAGCTCCTAAAAAAAGAGAAATTCAAATGCAAGAAGACACCTTTTGCAAGGTATCAAAACATGTCCTCTAGGAAAAATAAATTAAGTGCAAGAAGAAATCTGGTGCAAAGCAGTTATAACATCCCCTCACCAAATAAATTAATATGCAAGAAACCTTTGCTAAACCTCAAAAACATACAATCCCCAAAGAAATTGAAATGCAAGACACCTTTGCAAAGCATTATACTAACATACATGCAAGAAAGCATCCCTAGTGGGGTTATTCTTCCTTCTATATTTTAGACTATATCTTAAGGGCCCAAGGATAATGTATTGATCATTCTGGCTCCTATGTATGTAGAGGTGATATGCAATTTTCTGTGCCTGGTATTGCAGAGGATTGGTTGCAAGGGCTACTCTGTGAGGGTATCATGAACTGGGGGTTGGAAAGCAAGAGATGCAAAAGGTGTCACGTGTTGTCGCCAGGGTTTCTTTCAGCTATATCTCTGGGAAAGGGGGGGGGCGGGGAAAGCCAAGTCTGTCCGCCCCCCCCCCCCCTTGGGCAAAAAAATGCCCAACAATAAATCAACTGGAACTCCCGCCGCTGAAAAAAACACTGGTTGTCCCTCAACTGTTCCTAACTTTTGGAAGCTTGTTCCAGTCCCTGATTGTCTTTGGCAGGAATGAGCAGTTCAACACCACACTCCCACATAAAAATAGAGCAATTTAAGTGCAAGAAAACGACTGCAAAATTTTGTGTAAAAAATTAATATAAAAGTAAAAGCATGCGAATCAATGATTTATTATCCAATTCCAATGCTTAAGACTAAGATAAGCATAGCTTAGCCCATCAAATTACTTCGGTGGTTTTAATTAGTTAAATTAGTGGACCTTAAATGTCGGTGTTTTATGTAATTTCCTATTTCCTCCACAATTTTACATTTTTTAATATTTCGTTTTTAATGATAATTAAAATTGAGAAATGTATAAAATAAATAAGACAAATATCACTGGTCGACATACCGTACTTCACGAATGATTTACTATTTGCGACATCAATCAGCCATTTAAATATATCATTGGGGTGAAGAAGAAATATCCTACAGTATAATATCCATTATTCAAAAACAACAATAATTTTATTGCAGAATAATTTGTTTGGCGTGATCATTTGGATGGAAAAAAGGGGTGAGGGGAGGGCAGAGGCGTAGCGAGGGTGTTTGGCGCCCGGGGACAAGATTCGCGCCCGGGGACAAGATCCATCTTAAAGCGCCCCCTTTTCTTTTTTTCACCTCTCAAACTCATTATTTTTACCAATAATGTAATATCACAGCACATTTTGGCGCCCCTAACTAGCTTGCGCTGGGGGACATTAACTCGCTACGCCTCTGGGGGAGGGGGAGCGGAAAGACTCGCAATTACTATTATTTTACGACAACGGCAAATTGTTGACATTCCACGTTTTTATTTTTGGCGCCTGTCATAGCTGAAAGATGACAACAACACGGATGGCTGCACCTACACACTTTGTTCTTGCTTAGAATTCAGCTAGATGCATACGTGCCAAAAGTCGCTAATAGACTCATCAGGTTTCAAGGTAGGCGTGTTTAAATAAAATGGTCAATATGACTGCATTCACTAAAATTGAAACAAACAGTTTTAACACTAGTGCTTGTTTTTTTACTTTAAAAAAAAGTCGTGATACACGGTACTGGTGTAGTGTAGTAACCAACATTCATAAAATGATAATGTGTTCAGTGTAAGTGTAGTGTAGGACCTATGCACTCCTGATTTTAAATAGCCTATAGGATTTTTTTTTTTACTTGGGGTTGCAACTAACCAGACCTAGCAATCAATATTATTAGTTATTATATTATTGAATATCCCAACAATGATATAAAAAATGTGTCAATGTATAATTTAGACTTGTGTCATTTGCCCCAGCCTCAACCCATCATTGACTTCGACATTATCATTATCCTAATTAAAGTTTAGGTCAAGTAAATTAATAGACCCTAGGCCTATAACGTTTGAGTATAATGTAATTTCTTCTATAAATTAAGGGCCCATGATCAATTATTGATCATTCTGGCTCTTATGCATGTAGAGGGGATTTGCAATGTTTCTGTGCCTGTTGTTGATGAGGATATTTCATTGTTTGCAAGGTCTACATAGTGAGGGTATCATGCCATGCTCTGGGGGTTGGAAGGCCTGAGGCAATAGACGCAAATGTGTCAAATGTTTGTGGTCTCAGTAAAAAACTTATATAGCCTATAGAGTAGAACCAATCTCACAAATACAATAACTCTTGTTGATGTATATTCATTATAAATTATCAACAAATTAATATTCATAGGTCATAAGTGTCACAGATTAGATGATGGTAGTATGAGGTATTGCCCTTTGCGTAACAAGTAGTATTGGTGTTGGTTGATGCAGGGGTTGCTCCTCTCTGTGAAGGTTCAGTGTCCAGACGTTGAGGAAATTTAACGAAGACAACACAGACTTCAAAGAATGACCAATAAATTCCTCATTAACAACTATCAGCAAAGAATGTATAAATAGATTCAATACAGTCTAACAATATTCCCTTTCACCGTTAACATCCATTAGTCTTTACCGCTTCCCAACTTCCCAAAACATTCAGTAATCTTCCACGCTCCTTAACCTCAAAACATTTTTCCTCCTCTCCCGGAAATCGCCCATCACCCATTCAAAATCCAGCTAACGTGGTGCGACCCATGGGGAAAACCCGAACAAAATAGCATTATTACTAACATGGAAATGCAATGGAGCGTCATTGTTACACCCTGCCCTAGTCATTTGTGACATAAGAAATTTTTCAAAATCTGACAAATTTAAAAAACTCCACAAATGACCAACCTACAACTCTATGCATAACACCATCACCTGGGTCCAGCTCTTATGCCTCACTAAGTCTATTGTCACCTATTCTCATCTTCGGTTTTTCAACCAAAATAAAAAATAGGAAGAAAAAACATCATCCATATGTCAATAAAAAGTAACAAAATTAATAATCGTCTTCAACAACGTGAACATTGTACCTTAAAAGACTAAACAAAAAAATACCTATTTAAACATTTTGATATATAATTTAAATATATCAATCTCAGAACCCTGTTTGTACTCTGTCATAATCAGAGACCACCATTATCCTTAGTGACTCTTTGACAATAGTTTCATTGTTACACCTTGAAAATTATAATATTCTATCCATCATCAGAATATATGTGTCTAGCACGATCTGGTATAGACGAGTACCAGTAATGTCCATAACATCATCTTTATTGTTATGACATTACTAACAATACAACTAAAACATTATAATCCCACTTTCACTGTCTTCTTCAATGTTCAATGTCCTGTTCAAACATAACCCTTTACTGCCAACCTGGCCTCTTAACAATAGCAAGGGGGCTACGACCCGCATAAATGATTCATTTAATATGTATAACACAACCGAACCAGTGTTAAAACACATGATTACACCCATTATCAGCATTATTTGATTTACAAGTTAAAATTGCACCTGTGAAACACTCAAATAAAGATAGCACAACAAAATTAAATAAAGATACTAAAGTCCTAAACGCATACTTAATGTCTCTTTCAGAAAATCTCCTTGATGAAGCTGTGGAAATTGTTCTCATACTAAACGAAACACTTTATCTCCGTCTACCTAAGCTACCTCCAAACTGTAATCTCTCACACAGAAACTCTTTGAGTCCTAAACGACTTGACCTACTATGACGTCATAAACAATGTTTGGAATGCACACATCTAGAACCTTTCCTGAAATATCTGGGGTGCTGATTGTTACTATTGCCTTCTTTAAAATAAGAAATTGCATTGTTCTTTTGTCCCGAATCCTCTTCCTGTGGCAAAGAGCAAATAACAGGGTCACCGTGTAGCGGCAGTATGATCGTATCGCGAGTCACCGCCGGGTGCTCTTCCACCACAGGTATTTTTAATGGCAATACATCCTCAACCCTTTTATCTTGCGCCCTGGTCGTCACCATAGCCACCGCCATCGTCTTGTCTGGATCATCAGCACTACTCGCGCCCTCCACGTTCCCCACTATAAGGTCCACTATGGATTTAGAAACACAAAGCACCTCTACTCTACCACTAAGGTATGGTGTTGATATGTCGATAACAGCCTTTTCTGCTTTCACAATATCTGTGTTCATTAACTCAATGAAACCAACTCCACCTGTTAACTGGTCATCCCTTACATACTTCCGCTTCACAATTATTGCTTCACACCCAGTGTCTCTGAGCACCTCAACCTTAGTAGACCCGACCAAGCCTTCTAGAATCGGCAAATTCCTTTTCCTTGTCATTTCATTATCCTGCTCTCTAATCTCCCCGTCACATTTGATATTTATCTTTGTGCCAATCTCTTTATTTTCTTTTGCCATCCTGTAACTTTTATTGTGTCACCTATTGCCCGAAAAATGCATCCGAGGATTAAATATTGCTAATGCAGCCCTTTTTGAATCATCTTTTCCCGATTCACATACATTAGGACAGTTTCTCGCAATATGTCCACCCCTGTGACACACAAAACACTTGAAGCCAGGATTCACCTGTCCCTTAATGCCACTATAAGTTCTCATTGGACCAGGCCATGTCTTCTGCTCTTCATCTCCTTTATTGCTCGTGCCATTTCTCCTATTCTCCAACTGAATCTTGTGAGGCTTATCATTGAAGCCTCTCCTCCTTGCCTCGGAGAAATAGCTCTGCTACTCTCGCCACTTCATCAATACTATCAATCCTTCTCTCTTTTAAGTGAGTAGTCAAATCAACGGGACACACTCTCATGAATTGCTCCTTGATAAACATGTCCATAATACATTCAACTGTATTCTCTGTCTTCGAAAGACTAATCCACTTCTTGAGGTAATTCTTTAACCTTCCGATGAATACGGCCGGACACTCATCTGCCTGTGGCCTACTTTCTCGGAACAGGATTCTGTATCCATCCTCTGTAAGGTTGTATCTCTTTAGCAGCACCTCTTTCACCTTTTCATAATCTAGTGCATCTTCATAGGGCATTCTCGAATACTCCTCTAAAGCACGCCCAGACAGAAGCGCGCTAAGTGACAGCGCCCAATCGCTTATTGGCCATTTGCTGGTCTTCGCAAATAGCTCAAATCTGGTGAGCCATCCATCCAATAGATCCACTCCATTTACGAAAGGTGGAAGCTTGGGCTGCTTAGGTCGACTATCAAAACCGTTGGGACTCCAACCTCTTACTTGTTCCAACCTTTTGGCTTCTAACATCGCCTCTCTCTCGGCCATCCCTCTATCAGCCGCCCTCTCTGCTGCCTCTCTCTCGGCCACCCTCTCTGCCATCCTCTCGGCCGCCCTCTCTGCAGCCTCTCTTTCAGCTGCTTTCTCTGCAGCATCTCTTTCTCTAACATTGTTCAACTCTCTCTCTATGTATTCTTTCCTTTCATCTCCTCTACGTTGTAGAGCATCTACTATAGCCACTATCTCACTCAAACTTGTCACTGGCATCTTCGTTGTCCCCTCGTTGTGTCTGGACCCCGGTAACGAGCCCCCAGAATGTCACAGATTAGATGATGGTAGTATGAGGTATTGCCCTTTGCGTACCAAGTAGTATTGGTGTTGGTTGATGTAGGGGTTGCTCCTCTCTGTGAAGGTTCAGTGTCCAGACGTTGAGGAAATATAACGAAGACAACACAGACTTCAAAGAATGACCAATAAATTCCTCATTAACAACTATCAACAAAGAATGTATTAATAGATCCAATACAGTCTAACAATATTCCCTTTCACCGTTAACATCCATTAGTCTTTACCGCTTCCCAACTTCCCAAAACATTCAGTAATCTTCCACGCTCCTTAACCTCAAAACATTTTTCCTCCTCTCCCGGAAATCGCCCATCAGCCATTCAAAATCCAGCTAATGTGGTGCGACCCATGGGGAAAACCCGAACAAAATAGCATTATTACTAACATGGAAATGCAATGGAGCGCCATTGTTACACCCTGCCCTAGTCATTTGTGACAATAAGATTTTAATTTATAATATTATTTCAATTTTGTGTATTTCTTGTGAAAAGAGCCTTAAGAAATTGGAAACATAAAGGTGCTAGAATATTAAAGCTGTGAGCATGCTAAAGTAGCATGGATACAAGCGCTATATAAATATTCAATAAATTCACAGCCCTTCAAGCTTTCTCCTTTGGCTTGGTGGGGACACAAAAAAAAGGTTATTTCGGCACTTGGCCATCAAATTATCTTCATACGAAATTGAGATAGTTTAAATCCCCTACATTAGTTAAAATTTTCTATAAATTTATTCACCACAATTAAAATAAAAAGCTTGAAGACAATTATTAAAAAAAAAAGAAAAATTCAATTATTATTAATGTAATTTTTTTATAGTATATTTTACTTAATCTTTACAGGGTATTTGACTCTGATTATACCAATGCTCTAAAAGACAACAAAAACAAAGAATTCTTGTGAAAATGCCGTTTAAGTGGAGGTTAAAGAAAACAAGGAAATACGATATTTCAACAAAGAATTCCTTCATTGTTGGCGTTTATCTTTTGGATAATGCATATTTGGAATGTACACTGAGTGCTGAGAGCACAGGTCAAGAGTGTTTAAACAGTATAGCACAGAGAGTGGAGCTTGCAGAGGTAAATTATAGAAATTTGAATATTTTCATTTCAAATATATGTGCTGGTATTTGCCTTATCAAAGGGGCGTAAATATTTCTGTTTTGAAACATACATGTTATTGCTTTGTTTTTTTTAATTAAGTATAAAAATTAATAAGATGAAGAGGCATGATAAAAAGAAAAGCTTAATTTAGAATAACCTTCAAATCATAATCTCCAAAGCATTATCACAAATTTACTGACATCATCATAATCAATGTAGCATCAACTAACAATCTACTAGTACTAATTAAGGAAGAAAATACCAAACTATGTACACATGCACTTGATTATCCATACTAAAAAACCGAAGGGTACTGACCTTATAATATCCATCCCGTTTAATTTTTTCTTATATTGGCTATATAAATATCAATAGGCTTAATACTCCTACATGAATAGATGGATCTTGACCAAACTTTTTACACATACACTTCTCATTTTTTCTTATATAAGCGATATAAATATCACTATAGTTTCTATGTGAATTGATGGATATAGGCCTAGCGTGGTAGCAATACACTTCATTGTCCGTATTGAAATATTGGTGGATTTAAAACTGAGAATATCCAATCCATGCAGGGCCGATCTAGAATTTTCTAGAAAGCTCAATAGTTTAAAAAAGTGATATCTATAGCGTTTTTAAACCGATTTTAATGGGACAAATTTTAAATTATAACTATAATTTATTTGAACGATTTTTATATCTTAGACGTAACTAAAAGGGTACTTTATTAAATGGGCCCCTACTGGGGCCCCTGTTGCGATTTAAATGTACTATAGTTATAGTAGTACAATTTAGTTGTATAATATTTCGCATTTGAGAAATAAATACGTAGAAAAGTAATTTTTTACACATTTCACGTAGGACATTAAATTTAATCTAGAATCTTCCAGGAGGTTCTATATTGTTCTACGGGTTATATAAAGGGGTCTAAAAGCTTATTCGAACAAAATCGCAATGAGCATGATCCCATAGAGGAACAGGATCCCAATGGGAACGAGATACAAAAGTAAACTTCAACCCATCGGTTACACGAACCCATTGGGAAACAGGATGTCATCAGGATCACACCAGGAAATGGGACTGCGCCAGGATTGGGGTCCTAATGCAATGCCGGGTATATCCGCTAGTATATTAATATTTTAAAGAAGAGACATGTTCTTGTGAGAATAGCTTCAAACTTCACAGTAATGAATATGGTAGTTAGGTTTCTAAGGATCCAGATCAACTATTGTGCAAGGCAGAAAAAGGCAAGTAATAATAAAAATGCGGAGCATAAGGCAGGAATGGCGGTATGAGTTTAAATTGTTATTATTTTAAAATCTTGTCTTGGTTTAAATACATATTTATTTATGTGCTGAAAATGTATATGTACAATGTAATGTAATTAAAAAACATTTCCATTTATTTGGATAAATAAGAATAAAAAAAGAATCTTATCTTATGAAGAAATTTTTTTTTTCTTTTAAAATCTTTAAATTGCATGACTCAAATTGTAAAACTTTATATTTTCTTTTGTGAATATACACTCATAACATTCTGATATATATTGTAACAGTTCATAATAAGTTGGCAACAAAAACAGGCAATCCTAGTACAACATATTAGGAAATGACATGGTGACAGCAGCTCCATGATTTATGATTGTAGTTGTTTATTTGGTGTGATTATTTATCCGCTAAATATTTAAATTGCCTTACTATTGTGATTTTGGAACTGTAATATTTTAAGGTGCTGCTTGATAAGTGTGATTTACTGTCTTGCTGTTAAAATTTTCTATAATTTTGCTTAGATCTTTGTTTTAGAAACATCTTTAAGAGTGCCAATATCACAATTTAAAAAAAAGCAAAATACTCAAGTGTACTGGGTGAAATATTGGGGAAGTTATTGTATCCTGTTTAGGAAAACATTTTTCAAATGGCTTAAAGTTACAATGATTAGAGTGGTAAAATAAAAGATTTTTTGGTCACGATGCACCTTCTAAATGGGGCAGAATGTATTTGTTTGGAATTGGGGTCATATGTCGAAGAATGTATGCTGGTTTTTCTTCCTAAAACAGTTGTCAGTTTCTTTATAGCATATTATTTTGTATCACACTACTCAATTCCATTGTATTTGACACAGTTAAAAATTATCAAATTTACACTTACGTGAAAAATGTGGTTATTTAATTTTATTATTTTAAAAAAGTAATTGTGTGCACACCATACAGCTATGTTCCAAAAATTATTCCATTAAAATTTCAGACATATAACTATTAATATATAAAAAAAAATTAGCACTTAATTTCAGCTGTGATTTTCCTTATGTTTTGTATTTTAGGGTCAATACTTTGGACTTAGATATGTCACAAAGAAACTGCATTTTCACTGGGTTGATCTGGAGAAACCTTTGAAAAAACAACTTGATAAATATGCCCAGCCAGCAAGTCATTCTCACTGTCTTTATTTTGGTGTTATGTTTTACATTATTGGGGCTCATAAGATACCAGACGAAACAGCCAGGTAACATTACATTTTATAGTTATATTTTTCAAAGTTTGGTCAATGCTGAATAAATAACTTAAAATTTGTTTAAACAATCCAATTCATCATCATCATCCCGATGCAGCAGCCCTTTGAGGATGTGCCCTTCTGCAGTGAACATTTAGCACACAATGAGCTGTTCTTTGTCCGTGTTGTATAGAGTGTTAGTGTAGTCTGGAGTTTTTTGATAGGTGTAAGTCATGGAGTGCTGAGCAGTGAAAGAGGTGATGTGCTTCTCTATAAATTTGGATGTCTGCAGAGGGGGCACAATATGTTAATTAAGTTTGTATGCGTCCTGTGTTCAGGTGAACGATTATGACGTGTTCATGTCTTTGGAGGCAATTTATTGGATCTTTGGGATCTAGGCACATGTGTTAACACACATCTTCCTTTTTGAGTCCATTGCCCATTCATTGATCCACTCTTTTTCTGTTAGCTCTGATAATCTGTTTGTCAGTGTTCAGTGATGTAGGTAAACATAGGGCTGTTGGATGCTAGCTTGATTGCATAGGTTTAGAGAAAGGTGTGTCAATCAGAAGTGAGGATTTCTATTAAAACTGGTAAAGTTAAATTTATAATAAAATAAATCATTTAAAAAAATCATATCTTAAGAATATTGTTGCCGGCTATTATATATTTATTTTATTAACTTAACGCTTCTCCATGTAATAGAAATTGTAATTTTTTTTCTGACATCCATAGTGTATTTCTCTAAAACCATTCATTTAATTTTTTTTTTGGAATGAATGCTCCAGATATCATTACTACCTTCAGTTAAAGAATGACCTCATAGATGGAAGGCTTCCCTGCTCATCTGACCAGGCCATCAGACTGGCTGCATACAGCTTGCAAGGTGAAACATGCAAACTATTCATTAATTCATGATGGTGAACTTGTGTCTGGGTTATCATATTTTACTTCCTTCTCGCTTAGAACAGAGATAAAACTTGTCATGAATTTCTAGGTATCTCCTATTTGATTTGGAGTAGAAACCTCTATACCAGGCCTGCACAACTCAAAATGCAAGGTGGACCGTAATACTTTATGAAAAATTTGTGTGGGGTCAAAAGAAAATAGTGTAGGGGGAAAGCTATTAAGAAAAAATAATAATAAAGAATATTACATTACTTCGCGGGCCGCAAAGTGGGTGTTGGCGGGCTGCAAAGTGGGTGTTGGCGGGCCGTATGTGGCCCGTGGGCTGTATATTGTGCAGGCCTGCTCTATGCGGTAGTCACTATTTTAGGATTCATCATCTTTATGGTAAAGAAATTATAAAGACCTTAAAGCAAATAAAAAATAAACTTTCAAATATGATATGTTTAAATTGATGTTGTTTTTTTTGCAGTTATAATTTCCAAAATACAGACTTGGTTATAGATTATATGGTCAGAAGTCAGCTACACTTTTCTTATGCTGAAGTATTTTTTCTTCTTAATTGTAAAATAAATTATTTTGAATCCATTAAATTTAACATTAGTGAAAACTTGCAAGAATATAAACATTTGTTAAACTTTACACTTTCAGCTGAATTTGGAGATTATGAACCAGAAAAGTATTCAGTACAAGATTACTTGTTGTTTCCAAAGGTATTTCATGTATTTTGTTGAAGTAGAATTGAAAATTCATATGCTTTTAAAAAAAGCCAAATAGCTTGCTTTTAATTTGAACAATATTCTTGACATTCTATCCAAGTGTTTACCATTTGAAATAAATACTTTTTCTAAAATGAAAATGTTATACATCAAGTTTTATCATGATTATGCAGTTGTGTTTTTCTACTTTCAGACAATGATGAAAGATGAAGCTGTAGCAAATGAGCTTTTATCTGAGGCTATCGCTGGCCACATTAGTTTACAAGGTGTTCCACCAGTTCGTGCAGAACTTCAGTATGTTAAAGAAGTTCAGATGATGGATGGATATGGGGCTGAGTATTATAGTGCCAAGGTAGCTTTATCTTAAGTTTTTAAGCTAATTATTAAGAAAATGGTTGTAAAATTCCATTTTTTTAAAAAATTTTTATTGCAATTTTAATGTTCTACATTTGAAGCAAATATTATTTTTTGTTTTACACTTCCCTTGTTATTTAAAAATTCTTTCTAGGATGAATCTCGTAAAGACCTATATTTAGGGACTTCGTATGCTGGTATATTTGCTCGTTACATCGATGGTCAGTCAACAGTTTACTACAAGTAAGTATCAATGAATTTGACGTTTTTATTTTAAAAAAAATGATTATCAAGGGGTTAGCTTGGTAATCTTAAATAACAAAAACTACTTTGTTTATTAGTTAAAATTAAAAAATACAATGGACATTTGATTACTATCTTTTAAATTTAAAAAAAATCAAAAGTACAACATATTTTTACTGCATTATTTATTTATATCTAATTTCTAAAATAAATTTTATGAAAAGGTGGGCAGAAATAGCTAAAGTTACACAGAACAAGAAAACCTTAGAGATTGACACTTCCAAGAGTTCTGTTCAGTTTCAACTGGTAAGGCCAATTTTAATTTTAAAATAGTTCTTTTTTAATAACATAGATTTCTTTGTGAAACCAAGTTGGGGGATGTGTCACTGAGAAATAGCCGGCAATTTTAAATCAAGAAAAAAAGCTACCACCAGTTTTCGCATTTTTAGAATAGGAAACTTAGAATGTGCAAGTTGTTTAAATATTAAAATTATCCTCACAAAAACATAGCCTGCGACTTTTTAGCTACATAGCCTGGGACTTTTTAGCTAATAAAAAAATTTAGCTCTGGCTACACTCACATAGTCTACATTGGTTATAAAAAAACAAGGTGTGGGAAAACTTCTTATTTTCATATAAAAAAATGGAAGATCAGGGACTGATTTTTACCACGATGGTTGGCAACCTTGGTATTTCTAGGTCAGGCCATAGCATACTGGTCAACAGGTTTCTTTTCAAATAAAGTTTTATTTTTGTCAGGAAGCAAATCATAGATTTTATTTTAAAATAACACTTGAAATCTGAATTCTTTTTTCAGTTTATGATTTATTGTTCATGTTAATAAATCTTAAGTGATCAACTGATAACTTTCTTCAATAAAAAAATATTTTACTGTTTTTTTTTTTTTGATTCTGAAATTAGCATGGTAATAAAAATAATTCTTTCTTCAACTTGCTTTTGGATAGGAGGATACAGATACTGCCAAATACGTTGCTCGTTTAGCTCAACTTCAGCGACAGTTTTACAAGTCTGCAAAAGGAAATCTAAGGTAAGTTTTCTCAATTTATAAGCAGTATTTAAGCTCTATAACCAATTGAAAATACATTGCTGATAAGTTTAATAATGGTTTGCATTTTTGCCGGGAGTAAATGTAGAAATTAAACATAATTTTTAAAAAATAATTCATTTTAATGTTAATTAGGAACTATTTAATTGATAGTTATTATAATTTCATATCTAAAATTTTAGAAAGTCGGTAAAATCCTTCCTTTGTAATCAGGAAAATCCTTTTTGAAACAAATTATTTTATTAGATAGATAAGAACAATATTTATTATGGGGATGGCAGCGAACTTGTCAAAATACACCAATGTATGTTCAACTTCAGATATTATAATAAATTAAATTTTTTTTTTTTTTTTTAAATTGTCCTCATTTTTTATCATGATTATTCACTTTTGTTAATTTTAATGTTTCAAAAAAGAAAAAAAAAAGAACAGGATGATAACTTTTCCTTTGTCATATTTTTTTTCTCTTTTTTAAAAAAAAAATTTAATTAAATTTTTCTTTTTCTTTTTTAAATTGTCCTCATTTTTTATCATGATTATTCACTTTTGTTAATTTTAATGCTTCAAAAAAGAAAAAAAAAAGAACAGGATGATAACTTTTCCTTTGTCATATTTTATTTCTCCTTTTTAAAAAAAAAATTTGTTTCCAAATGGAGCTAAATCCCTTAGTTTAGGTAGCCTAGATGGTTTACATCAAAAGTAGGTTAGGCAGAAGTGGATGAAAGAGTTAAAATTTCAACATAGTTTTATCAAGCATTATGCAGCACCTCTTCACTTGTGTTCATGCATTCATTATTCAAGATATTCAAGCATGTAAAATATTTCTGTGGTGCATGAATATTGAGTTTGTTAAACCTGTGATTTTTTTTTCTTGTTCATTCCCTTTCATTTCTTATTTACAGAGGCATTATTTCATTTTTTTAATGTCTGTGTCAACCAATTTTCTCTTATTCAAAAGAGTTAAAATTTTGCAAGCAACTTAATTTGCGGAGCAATTTCATAGATCAAATTTTTTACATTTAAAACTGTTCATATTATAAAATTTCAGTTTAAATAGTATGACATGTGCAATTCTATTCATCCGATCTCATGAATCAGGACTAGAAAAAAAAAATTATGAGCACAAAATTAAAACCAAAAAAAAAAAGGTAATTGTTCCGGATTGGAAACAATGGAATGTTAATATTTTACTTATATATTTTGGCTAACTCATAGCCTAACAACCGCCTATATAGTATGACATCTAAATTTATTCTTCAGCAATTTATTTGGTTGACATTATAATTTTAAAACACACGTTTAATGATTATATACAATTTGGTATTGATTGGTTTAATTCAGTGGGAGCCTTTAAAAAATGTTTATTAAAAAAAAACACCTTCTATTTTGCCACTACGCATGCACATTATCTTCTAATGAAACAACCACCAACCTGATTTCTTTGTTGTAAAGCATGTTGCATTGTGTTGGCACGCCTCTGTTTCAGTAACAGTGTAACTGACGTCAGCATGATAGAGGAGCCTGAGACTCAACATTTCATGTATGTATAACTCTTTTACCAACATCGGCTCACTCAGTCACTTGTGACATTTCTCAAACATATATATGTCACGTTTGCATGTCAGAATGAACATGATGGTCACAGTTTCTCTCCCGTAGAGCAGTCAAATGCTAACTTTGGTTGTTTATTTTTTTTCCTCTTTTTTTTAAATATTTTTTTTTTAAAGTTTTTTTTTGGTTTTTGTTTGTTGAAACATTTCCCATGGCACTAGTCTAATTAAAAAAAAATTAATAAAAAGTATAAAATAAAAATATAAACACAAATAGAAGTTTAGATTTTTTATATCAGTTATCTTTCTGTTATTTAAAAACAAAATTTTGGCTTAAGTTTTAATAAAGTCAGTGAAAGTTGACTCGGCTGCTCATGTTCATTTGTCTTTCACTGTCTAGAGATGCTCAACAAGTTTACATCCCAGCCACAGACTCGTCCCATTCCTCACAAGAGCTGGTAAGTTGTCCACAGCTTGATCTCCAACTCGGCGGTTCCCAACCTGTGGGTAGCGGCCCTTACACAGGGTCGCCTAAGACCATCTGAAAACACATTTGTATGAAGTAGCAACAATAATAATTTTATGGTTGGGGGGTCACCACAACATGAGGAACTGTATGAAAGGGTCAGGGCATTATGAAGGTTGGGAACCGCTGCTCTAACTGAACATGATTTTTTTTTTCTTTGTCAAGGAAAAATAAATGTTCATTTATAGAATGAGACAGAAATCTGAATATTAAATTTTAGATTTGAAGCTTCCATATTTTCACTGTCAATTTTTGTGTATGACACACATATTAACACACTTGTTGTGAACTCTCATGTTGCTATTGATTGAATAACATTTTTTAAGGAAGCTTTAATAATTATTTTTTTTATTATGTGAGGTCAAGCTCTTTCCAAATCTCTGTTTTCTTCCTCATTTGATGAATGTTTTTAATCCCACTCATGCACAATCTTTGATGCAGGCTCATTCTCAGACATCACTGACTCATCTACAAGAGCAACGGTACCCGCAAGGTAAATACATTTAGGATAAAAATAATAATCCGACACTGATGGATCTTTCAGTTAGCGATCCAAGCTTTTTTTCTGAAATGTTTTGAAACACAGTGTAACTTTTTTTATGTAGTCATTTAGCTTTCCTGGTATCATCAATGCATTTCCCACCTTTTTAGCCTGGTATTATCCATGCATTTCCCACCTTTCTTGCCTGACATTATCAATGCATTTCCCAACTTTGGGTTCCTTTCAAGGTCAGTTTTGAAAATAAATAAATCTTAATATTTGAATGTTCAAGAAATAATTATAATGTAATGCTGGGCTTAAGGAAACATAAATAAGATCACAACTAACAAAGCAACAACTGGTACCGGTAACTGTTTGGGATCTGAGGAATTGTGGATACATATCCTACTGAAACAGGTTGTTTTTTAATTAGGATAGTTTTGTTTTCTGTTTGGTCACAGCATCATAACTAGAAATTGACCTTTAATTCAGTATCAGAAGTCAAGAAACAATCAAGATGTAGAGGGCATAACTAGAAATTGACCTTTAATTCAGTATCAGAAGTCAAGAAACAATCAAGATGTAGAGGGCATAACTAGAAATTGACCTTTAATTCAGTATCAGAAGTCAAGAAACAATCAAGATGTAGAGGGCATAACTAGAAATTGACCTTTAATTCAGTATCAGAAGTCAAGAAACAATCAAGATGTAGAGGGCATAACTAGAAATTGACCTTTAATTCAGTATCAGAAGTCAAGAAACAATCAAGATGTAGAGGGCATAACTAGAAATTGACCTTTAATTCAGTATCAGAAGTCAAAACAATCAAGATGTAGAGTTTTCCCAATGTTTCCAGATATTCTTCAAAGCTCGCAGCAAAGTCTGGAGTCTTCATCAGAGTCACAGCAGCAACAACAATTGCTTCAGTACCACCACCATCATCAGATAAATCAACAGCACATGACAGGTGTGGAGGGTGAGGCCGTCACTGGGAATGGAGTCTATCAACAAGTTATGGTAACTTGCAAACTTTTAGATTTATTGCAACTCTGCATCTGGCGTTTCTATGGTTACTGTGTGGGCTCTATACAGGAGACTGGCGTTTCTATGGTTACTGTGTGGGCTCTATACAGGAGACTGGCGTTTCTATGGTTACTGTGTGGGCTCTATACAGGAGACTGGCGTTTCTATGGTTACTGTGTGTGCTCTATACAGGAGATGACAGTGTTTGATGCAAATGTTACTTGACAAGGACATTTACAAGGTTGAGTGTTATGAACTGGTTTTGTGAGTGTGCTCAGGTTGTGTATGGAATAGTTGTTGATCATGAGTTGGTGAATAGTTTTGAAGGGCCAGTTGTGATTGGTCAGGTTGTGTTAGGGCTAGTTGTGATTGGTCGGGTTGTTTGAGGGCCAGCTGTGATTGGTCGGGTTATGTTAGGGCCAGTTGTGATTGGTCGGGTTATGTTAGGGCCAGTTGTGATTGGTCGGGTTATGCAGGTCAATGAACAATTGAGGTGTTTAAATAATGTGGGAACAAGGGGTGCAAGTCAGTATGTTAAGTTGCATTGAGAGTTCTGTGGTGAGTTATCATTTTAGTGTTGAAAGTGCAAGTCCTCGTCAAAGGTAGTCAGTGTCGAGTGTAGTACAAGTGTAAAGAGGCTTTTATAGAAGTTTTGCGAACTTGTCGTAATCCAGTTGTGGCACGGTAAATAAAGAACTTAAATATTTTCAACCTTTTGTTTTTATTGCTCGTCATCAGCAGTGGGGATGCAAGTTAACGCTAAAGCCGTGATGTCCATCCTTTCTCACAAAGTGCTCCATAAATTTATATTCCCACAAAGCCTCAAATGACATCTCTAAAAAATATTTTTTTAAAAACTTTAAAAAAATTATTCACATTATTGATAATTCTTACATTATGCATAGAGTCATATATCCAATAGCATTATGGACTCATCAAGAGTATAAATAAAACAAATATGAACTGTAGCTCTTTTTATGATATGCTTTAAAATTTACTTGCAATTTTGTTAATTTGAGGTAGTTATCAGCAGCTTCAGCCCTCATTAGATTTTCTAAATATTCACCAGTCAAGGCGTGATGTTCTTTGGACTTGATGCTGGTCATTACAGAGAGTCCAGTTTCCCTGATGTAGGGTGCTTCCAATAACATGGTCAAAGTTTTATTACAATATTTCCATAATTGTGGCTATTCACTAGAAGAAAATAGCTATTTCATGTAAATTGGTCCCATTGGTGGGGACATGGGCATTTTTACACTGACTCTGATAGTTACACATGATGTTATTTTTGGTTTCCCTATTCATCTTTTTTCCAATGCCGTCAGTAATGATACCTGATACCCAGCAATGCCTCCCCTGTACAAGCAAAAGAAAGAAGAAGATAGGAGCTGATTTATATCACCAGGGTTCTGCCAATGTGCTTAACATTAATTACTGCTACCTGTCAATCCATCCATTCCTTAGCTTTTGTGACCTCCCCTTTTTTCTAGGGTTACAGCTCCTCCTGTGCTCTCACATAATTTGACAACAAAACTAAATCAGTTTGAAAATATTTTCACCCTAAAATGTTTTATTTTTTTACACACATCACCCTGGGCTGCGGGTTGGACAGCACCACCCCAGAAAAATATTGTTTCCATAAACAACATAGAGTCCTGCAAACTGCCTGCGAGTAAATGTACGTAATATGGGAGTTTAACTGTGAACTCTTCCTGGGATGGAAGTTTGTTACAGTAGGCATTTATTCATATCCCAACTATCACTGCGTCATTTTGCCCTAATAATTGAGACTCACCATCTGAAATTTAAAAAAATATAAAATCTGGCAATGGTTGTTTGTAAAAGGACTTGAGTTTAAAATGAGCACTTACACAAAATTTTAAACCAGGAATATGTGAAGAAGTATATTTTATGGTCAGCTCAAGGAATATGTGAAGAAGTATATTTTATGGTCAGCTCAAGGATATTTTCATCTGAGCTAGTTCAGCTAGGCTGTATTTAAAATTTTGAATTTATAAATAATTTCCTTGTCACTAAAATCTTTACTAAATCTGAAGCAGAAAATGTTTTGATAGGAATGTAGGCAAAGGTGTTCTCCAAAGTGTAAGGATGAAAGTGGGTTGAAAATTTAACAACGCAATAGCTCATTTATTAATGAAACTAATCCAATACAACAATTAAAAACTTGTAATTTTCTGTATAGACAGCTATTTTCAATACAAATTTGGTGGTGGTCTCCTTACTGTCCTCAAAGAGTTCAACCTATTTGCTTATTTACAAATTGAGGTCCAATTAAAATGAATTAAATGTTGTGTTCTTCCACCAGAGGCATGAATCTCTGACCCCTACACCAGAAGGAGACCCAGTTTATGTCAACAGAGCTGCCTTACTGCCTGCATACAGGCCCAGTCCAGATTATGACGCAGTCATGCAGCAGAGAATGATGCAACAGCATCACCAGCAGCAGCCGCATCCTCAAACACCGCATTTTAAAGAAATCACGCCCCATCTTGGTGCGGCACAAGTTTATGTCCATCCCGATGGCATGGCGTACAGCCAGCCTGAGATCAGCCAAAACCTGGCCACATTCAGGGACGAGCATGGCAACTATGCAAACGTGGACGCACTGAGACACTACAGCCACTCCATCTATGCCAATATATTTCAAGAAGGTCATGGATTCTATGCGGGGCGTACGGGGGAAAGAGCCAACAATTTAGCTGTCCACCCAACGTACAGCTCACCTGAACTCAACACAGAACTTCATCAGCAGGAGGCCTTTGCCAACAACGAATTCTCCGCACAAGAGGCCATGGCCTATCATTTCCGTCCTCCGCCCCCATACCCTCGCACTAGCAGCAGCACCCCAGATCTGGCTGTGCAACCCAGCACCGCTCATATGTCGGGGCACTCTGGCCTGGCTTTGCACAGTTCTGGCAATGTTGGTCCTCACGACCTCATTGTTCAGGCCAGACTGGACAGAAGCGTTGATGATCTGTCTGGTTATAAATTAGCCGGTGGGTACTCCGTTTCTGGTCACCAGTATCCATTTTCTGCTCCTGATAAAGCTGTGAGTGAAAATAATTTTCATGGTGCCCAATCTGATACAAGAGTTACGAATGCACCAGGAGGCGACGTACTGGCTGGAATTCAAACCAAAGAGAGGGGTGATGCCACTGCTGGATCTCATCTACAGGCACATGATCTAAGTTTGGTATCAGAAAACACAAGCAAAGTCTTGAGTGATGATCCTGATGACACCTCCAGTGAACATTCATACTCAACTTTCCATGCTAAAGAGTCGGATGAAAGCTCTGAAGATGAGAGTTCAAGGGTCAAGATTGTCCAGCATAAAGAGGAATCTAAAATTCAAATAAGAATGTTCACACCTCAAGAAGCCCCGCCGCCTTCAAAACTCAAAGAGGAGGCTACTCTACGAGAAAGTTTCAGGAGGTTAAAAATAGTAAGAACCAGCTCCGTGAGTAAAGATGGCCCTGTTCTAGGGAGGTCTTCATTGCGTGGTTTGAAAGACACGGCAGATGGACATTCAATCCCCTCATCTCATCTTAATGCAGTCTCAGAACAGCCGCAAGAAGGTTCTGGATCTGTGGGTAAACCTGGTCAGAATTTCCCAACAAATAAGCCCACTCTGCCATCTAAAGATGCAAATACGCCACCAGAGATGAAAGAAATATTAGATCGCCTAGGAGCCCCGCCTCCCTATCCTGGTATGGTACCTGTTTTAAATCCCAGTTCTGTTGACATTAATGTTTTACCTGCCCTTACAACCAACAGCAATAATAACAACATAATACCAGAAAAGAAAGAAGAGCATTTGAAGTTACCCACCAACACTGGCCTCAGCCAATCTCAGAACAAACAGCTTCTGACCACTGTAAAGCGATCCAGCTCTGTAGGGACCGCTCCCCCAAAAGCCGGTCCTGTGCTGTCGGCACACAAGGAACCACCAGGGACAAAGCCCAGAGCAACAACGTTTAATCTTGATACTGTCGTCCCCGTGTCCAAGCCTGGCATGGTTCGCTTTAATAAAGATTCAGATGTCGGCACGTCAGTCCTGAAGTCAGACACTGTCAGGAATCCCTCTGTGTCAGGAAGTGAGAGTGACAGCATCAAGTGTTTGAGTGAAAAGGACAACAGCAGCATCAGTGACAAAGGTGTCGGTCAGGATGACAAGGATGAGTCTAGTGACAACCTGGCCAGTCTGCATGACTACTCCATTGGTTCTGACAGTGACTCGGACCATGAGCGGGTATGTTACACTATTGGTTGGTTGTATTGTTCCATTCATTCTTTTATTGGTGGGTCACTAATCACATTTCAATGAGGAAATAACTGGCTGAAATCTGGTAATAAGTATGAAACATGTTAGATACATTGCAAAAAAAATTATATTTTCCTTCCACAGAAGAAACGACATTCTTCTCTTAAAAATAGAGAAGAAAAACTGGTATTTTTTGCTCTTAAATTATTTCACATTTTAATTATTATTTTTTCTGAATTAAAAATAATTTCTACGTCTATCCTGACTAGATCAGCGTTTCTCAAAGTTTAAAGTTTGGTGGACCAGTGTACAAGTTTTGAAATTGCACCAGGGACTAGTGGCAGATTTATGAATTAGATTTTCTTTTTTGTTTGACCGTGATTATTCGTGTTGTGCAGACTGGCAATGTAAGGCTCTCGAAAGGCTGGTTTAAATAACATGTTTATCTCCTATTTTGTCAGTATATTACTGCAGTCAGTTTGTTCTTGTTACTATGATGCACTTATGTTCTTTCAGAGTTCTTCTGATGCCTTGAATATTGGACCCTTGAAGATGGCGGCCATGAATGGTTTGACCTTGTCCAAGTCCATGGTTCTGTCTTTGATGAATGATGACAGTAGGGCTCCTACTGATGACAGGGTAGATTTTTTATGCACAAGAATGTTCTTACTGTTGCTTTTGACTCTATTTGCAATATCACTATCTTCATAGTCATTATACACTGGGCTTGAATGCAGTCCGTTCTACAATAGTTTTAAACGATGGATTTGAATAAATTTGGTTCCTAAGAGGAAACTGAGGAGATGCATGTCAGAAATCTCAAACTTCATCTCTCCACTAGTAAAAATCACAAGGCAATATTTTTAATGTGATGTCAAATCTTCATCAATACACATGATACATTTTCTATAATAATATAGCAGTCATATAATATATTCACATTTACACTGTCTGCTGAGATCCTCAAAAAATTGTTTCTGGATAATCAACTGACAGATAAATCTATAAATTAATAAGGCATCATAGCATGTTTATTGTTGTATTAGGCTCGCTTTGCGATTTCAATTACATTTTATAAAGCAAACTGAATATCTCAACAGCGGAGAATGTTGGAGAGTAAAATATCCGAAGGGCAGGTGTATGCCGAGTTTGAACAAATCCCTCGCAAGTCTGACAGCATGGAGTGCTGCATAGCGATGTCCCAACATAACACACCAAGGAATAGATTTAAAGATGTTTTACCTTATGACGCAACGAGGGTCAAACTGAGCCCCAGGAGAGACAACCCAGATGGATACATTAATGCATCACACATTAAGGTAAGAGTAATGCAGCCTGTTATTTGTTTAGTTCCACTGAAGCTGATTATACTTGATGAATAATCAAGCTAGTGGATTTCATAAATAGCTTTAAGTGACTGGACAATAGTAAACATTATTTTGTTAACAAAATGCAGTGGTTAATTCACAGGGAAAGGGGCAAAGCTTACTATCTATATATTACCGTAGTATTAGATTTAACCGGAATCCGCCTTGAAACAAAAGCTCTTCATTTAACCTGTCATAAATGATGTCTGCCTCTTTCAACTACATTGCAGCAATTTCAACACCCTCCATTTGAAAGGAAAGCGTTATAATTTTTGATACACAATCTAGCAACATAAAACTGATCCCCTAATGAACTGTTCTTTAGACATGTATAAACTTTATTTAAAATAAATCCAATCAGCCAAGGGAGTGAAAAGTTATGATCCTGTTGTTATTTCAATTAACTGGTTGAACCAAACAATTATTTTTTATGGGCATGTAAATGAGGCTTTCAATAAGTTTTGTAATTTAAAATTTGAAATATTTCAAGCTTCTTTGGTAGATTAGTCCGGATTATTACTTTTTGGATCACTTCAAGCAATTCTGGGGGATTTCTTTTAAAGTTGGGTCACTTTTCAATTTATGGCAGTGGTATCAAACTGCTAAAAAAAAAAAAGAAACTAATGGATATCTAGTTCTTGAGGTTATTTCATTAGGTCTAACCAAGCTCACACGCTGTGCTCTGTTCAAACTACACTAACACTTTGCAGTTTTTTGTCTCCACGTCACAGCTCACTGCCAATGACAACAAGTGGCTATTTATAGCAACACAAGCTCCACTTGAAAATACAGCTGTAGATTTTTGGCAGATGATTTGGGAAAACCATGTGGATGTTTTGGCCATGTTGACACCCTTTGAGGTACTGGTATTACAACGCGATATGAATTTTTCTGCATTGATCAATGTCTTTATTTTAAAACTTGCTATGGCCTAAGAACATTAATTCACACAATAAACAATCATACAGTTACAGTCATACAGTCACAGTCCTACAGTCACAGTCATACTGTCACAGTCCTACAGTCACAGTCATACAGTCACAGTCATACAGTTACAGTCATACAGTCACAGTCATACAGTCACAGTCATACTGTCACAGTCATACTGCAATAAATATTTCTAATATAAAATAAATCTCTGGTATGTTAAGAAATCAAGTACAATAATTTAAATTAAAGCAAAAGTAAAAAATTATTTACCCACGTATTTCTTCACAATTTATTTGTACTAAAAGATTTGTACTTTGTATTTAGTGTTGAAGGGCTTTGTATTAAGTTTAATCTATGATTTCTGTTATGGTTTTGTTGTTTTTCAATGTTGGGTTTGTCTAGCACTTAATGAAATGAATTTAATTGACAGGAGTCTGGGAAGTCAAAGTGTTTTGTCTACTGGCCTCAAGAACCTGGTCACCAACATAAACAGACCTATGGCGAGGTAATCACATGAGCAATACTAAGATGTAAAAATGTGTGTATCTTGATTGAATCGTAATGTCTCAAATTTGAACTATTGTTCTTGTTTAATTCGACCCATGACATTAAAATTTTTTTTTTATTTCTCAGTTTGAGGTAGAGTTACAGTTCACAGATGATTCACTTTGCTATCTGACCAGTCGTATCATATTACGGCACAGCGGCAGGGAACACATGGTGTGGCATCTACAATACACAGACTGGCCTGACCATGGCTGCCCAGAAGATACTTATGGGTTCTTGGGTAATTGGATGAATTCATCTTTCCAATATGGAATAACGGTTAATCATTAAAATTTTTATACGATTGTCTATTGACCCAACAACGAATAGACACGATTGATTTATATGAGTTTGTTGGCTGCTATTCTTGTGAATAAATGTCGCTGATGTTTTTAAAGAAATCTGTTTCCAAAATGGCATCATATCCCTTTGGTTAGACAGTTGAAGGGTAGCTAAGAGAGGCCTGGGTTCAATTATTCTGCAAAATAAGTTTAAGTTTTAAAATTCCCTAGAAGAAAACATCAAAACAAATACTTTACGTAGTTCATGATACAACTTTTCCATAACTGTTTCAGAAAATATATTTGCCTTTAATTTACCTAGTCGTTTATAAACTGGTTATGTTTGTAAATAGATTTATTTATTTATGACTTGTGCAATTCGATCAACTAATGAAAGTCCCACATTTTCTTTATATCTTACTGACTTTATACCTGACTTTCTGGCATCTTATACCATGCTTTTATCTGCAGGCTTTCTTGATGAGATTGAATCCGTGGCCCGTTTAGCTGAAACAGAATCTGGTCGGGGGGAGAAGTCTCCGGTTGTTGTTCACTGCAGTGCTGGGGTAGGGAGGACAGGAGTGGTCATCCTCACAATGGTCATGAAATGGTGTTTGGAACACAATCAGGTATGGCTCAAAAGAGGTTTTATAGCAAAAGACTAATACAGTGAGTGACAGGTTAACACTAACAACATACACAATGGCTGGTAAATTGTGATGAAAGTAAAAAAATCTCCCCATTTAAACTACTGCCCTTTTCCTTCTTTGCCTTTTTTAACTCCCAGTGTAGCATGGGCCACTATCAAGAGTGTAGCATGGGCCACTATCAAGAGTGTAGCATGGGCCACTATCAGTGTAGCATGGGCCACTATCAAGAGTGTAGCATGGGCCACTATCAAGAGTGTAGCATGGGCCACTAACAAGAGTGTAGCATGGGCCACTATCAAGAGTGTAGCATTGGCCACTAACAAGTGTGTAGCATGGGCCACTAACAAGAGTGCAGCATGGGCCACTATCAAGAATGTAGCATTGGCCACTAACAAGAGTGTAGCATGGGCCACTAATAAGAGTGTAACATGGGCCACTAACAAGAGTGTAGCATGGGCCACTAACAAAAGTGTAGCATGTGCCACTAACAAGAGTGTAGCATGGGCCACTAACAAGAGTAGAATGGGCCACTAACAAGAGTGTAGCATGGGCCACTAACAAGAGTGTAGCATGTGCCACTAACAAGAGTGTAGCATGGCCACTAACAAGAGTAGAATGGGCCACTAACAATATCTTTCCAAGCCTTCGGGTCTCTTGCAATAATATCACTTTCCAACCTTAAGTTATGCCCTTTTCTTATCATAAGACCTATTAATTTCCTCCCCCTTTTCCTAATTTCTTGCTTCACTTGGATTTGTGCTGTTATCTATCTCACTGTTGTTAAATTGATCCAATGACCATCATCAGGTTTTCTGTCAGCATGATGACTTTCTTTTAATTTGGATTGGAGACACCTTCTCTAAAGAGGCTCTCAGAGACACCTTCTCTAAAGAGGCTCTCAGAGACACTTTCTCTAAAGAGGCTTTCAGGTCCTTTATAATCTTGTTATTGTGCATCATACACTGATATTTTTTCACTGAAGGCTGTTAAGTACATGAAAAATATGTGTTCCCTTTCATGCTTCAAATGACAACAGTTTGAAATAATTGAGATTCTTAAATTTACAATAACTTAAATATTAATTTGATTTAGAGCTTGTTGCTAAAGCGGCTGGAATATTAACTTGATTTTTGGAAAATAGTATAACAGGTGTTTCTTTTATTTTACCCAACAATCTACAAACCAATTATATCATCTGTAACTTTTCAGTTTTTGAGATAAAATTCACACCCTTAGAGATTAATGTCCCAAAATCCTTCCTTTATGAGTGTATGTCTTAATGTACCTTCCAAATTTCACAAGCATGGACTGCTTTTGGGTATTAATTATTTTTGGGCATAGAATACTTTTGGGGTCATGACATCAGTATATTTTTTGTGGAGCTTGATTGTTTTCTATGATCTATTTTCAAACAGAATGTTGACCTGCCTAAAGCTCTGTTGGCAATCCGCAACCAGCGTATGCACATGGTGCAGACCATGGGTCAGTATCGTTTTATTCATGACACCCTCATACAGTACCTGAAGAACACCAGGCTCATTTGACAACACAAGGCAAAGCCACCACATGATTTGTTTATTGTTACTATAACTCATTTGTTATAGGCTTGCCTGTTTGTTTTAGTCAGCTGGTTGGGACGTAGGAATGGTGAGAACTGACTTTGTTCAGGTCTCTACTTGCTGCTTCATAGCATCTTGTCAAGGTATTGTGTATAGAAATAAATGTTAAACTTATTGTGATCTGATGGGACACCTGCCGATGTGCACCACAGCTGTGAGCTGCCCCCCCCCCGGTCTACTCATAATGTTTTGCTATTTTGTTTCGTTATTAAGTTTGCTACTAATGTTCTAGCCTAGAGTTATGAAGTTCTCTGGTTAATTGTACACAATTTAATGTCATCTATAACTGATGTATTTTTTAAAAAGACATTCAGTTTTGTTGAGACTTTTATAAAAAACCAAATGTGCATATTATTTTCATTTTTTAAGATAATAAATTAAATTTTCTAAACTTGTTAGTGTAGTGGTTCGAAAGCCCCAAAGAAAGCAGATTAGAAATAAAAGATAATGTACAGGAAAGTTTATTATCAGTTGCACTGCTCAGTAAATTTACATGCTACCATTATGAGATGAGCTTGAAGTAGATCCATAACTCATTATCATCTCATAATTTTACAAACGACAACATGATATAAAAAGCCAAGCATATTTTCCAATAAGTTCAAATAAGCATTTCATCTGCATTGGTTACCATGTGTTTTCCAAATTTCTTTTGTTGTTGATTCTAAACAATTTTTTAAAAACCTAGTCCCACTTGTAAAGACAAAGCTGTTTGACCTTTGATGAAGCTTTTTATGCTATACAGTCCTTTAAGAAACGAAAGAATACATCTATATTGTGTTTATAAATATAGGTGGCTTGTTTCTGCTCTCGAGGTACAACATCTCATGCCAGTATCATTGTACAGTTTTAAAATGTCAGATATTTTTTGGAAAAAATGGTTTAAGAAATGTCTTTTTATCTAAATGGAGCATAAATGTCCAATTTGT